TAAAAATGGTATACCATTAGGTAATATATCAGGCCTCTGCGTCAGCCTCTTCGCAGGCACATCTGCAATGTCCGGGTTCCTCCAGGTTGTGGGGGACGGGCTACGCAGCACCTATATCTGTGATGTTGGGATCTCGTGGCTGAGGGGCTGTAATAGGGTTAGTGCCCGGGCGCATGCCCTGTGCTTAAACACTTGCTATGTTATTTTGAAGCCTGCCCTTTTGTGATTGATGATGACGTTCCATAACATCTCTTCTGGGGGTTTGCAACGACATTCGTGTTCAGGGGCATGCGGATGTCTTGGCACGCCGCATGTTTTGTGTCAAATTTGTTCGGGACTGGGGAATTGCGATCAAAATCCTCTGGCAACTACCGATTACACCATGGTTGATTCCAAGTTTGGGCCGCGCAAAAATCCGAGTTGCCCAGGAAGCACTGCAAATTTCCCATCAATACAATCTACCGTATATCATTCTATATTTATACATGCAATAGGCCATAGGGTTTATTAAAAGACTCGTGTATATCTATATAATATATATATATATAATATTATATATATAACCTATCATGTAAACATATATATATATCACAATGAAATTTATACACACGGAATTTGAATTCTAAATATCCGCAGCATGTCAACAATCCATATTTGTTGCGTATTTTTTTTGAATATTTTCCTGGTGGTAAAAGATCGGGAAGCCCAAAACGGATCGCCGTGTCTCACCAGGCGCAGGGCCACAGTTTGTCGCTACATTATAGTTGGGTTCGTCCCAGCGGCATTTTATTGCAAGTTTGTTGTAGGTTTTGACAAAATATGTGTTTTTTCGAGTTGTTTCATGTTTTTTCAAATCGTTTCATGTTTTTCAAGTTTTTTCATGTTGTTTCAAGTTGTTTCAAGTGAGGTGGCACGGATTTGTGATTATGTACATTTTGGAACCATCTGAAATTGGAATGGTGTTTGGACCTTGCATCTCCCGTCCGCAGGTGTCCGCAGCGTGTTTGGAGCGTGTTGTTTGGAGCATGTGTACGTCGAGAGAAGTTATCAGGTTGGTATTGCAGCATGTTGGAGCTAAAATCTGTACCATGGTGTTTGCAACATTTCAAAACTGCAATTTGCATTTTCCGTCCATTTGCATGGCATATTCATCCGTACACTTGCAAGTAAATGTTTAGCATGTTCCAGCCTCGATGTTTGATTGTTGCTGCAAATTACAGCACAGTTTTTTGCATTGGAGTTTGTCCTGTGGTGGGTTCGCAGCTGGCTGGGATAAGATATCTGTTCCTTGTTCTGTTCTCGTCCTCGTCGTCGTCGTCGTCGTCGTTGTTGTCCTCGTTGTTGTTGTTGTTGTTGTTGTTGTCGTTGTCGTTGTTGTCCTTGTTGTCCTTGTTCTTCTTATTATTCTTATTATTCTTACTGTTCCTAATTTTGTTCTTCCTTTTGTTCTTGTTCTTGTTTTTCTTCTTCTTTTTCTTCTTGTTATTGTTATTCTTCTTCTTGTTCTTGTTCTTGCTCTTCTGTTTGCTCTTGTTGTTGTTTTTTTTCTTGTTCTTGTTGTTCTTCTTCTTGTTCTTGTTATTTTGTTGTTGTTGTAGTGGTGGTGGTGGTCATCGTCGTCGTTGTTGTTGTCGTTGTTGTCCTTGTTGTCGTTGTTGTCGTCGTCGTTGTTGTCGTTGTTGTCCTTTTTGCCCCGATTGTTCTTATGGTTTTTTCTTCTTCTTGTTCTTCTTGTTCTTTTTTTGTTGTTCTTCTCGTTCTTCTTATGGTTGTTGTTTTTCTTCTTGTTGTTGTTGCTGTTGTTTTTGTTCTTGCTCTTGTTGTTGTTGTTGTTGTTGTTGTTGTTTTTCTTCTTCTTCTTCTTCCTCTTCCTCTTCTTGTTCATGTTGTTGTTGTCGTGGCCTTGTCGTCGTTGTTGTTGTCGTCGTCGTCGTCGTTGTTGTCCTTGTTGTCCTTGTTGTCCTTGTTGTCCTTATTGTCCTTGTTGTCCTTGTTGTCCTTGTTCTTGTTCTTGTTCTTGTTCTTGTTCTTCTTCCTCTTCTTGTTCTTGTTCTTCTTCTTGTTCTTCTTCTTCTTCTTCTTGTTCTTCTTGTTGTTATTTGTTTATTTGTTTGTTTGTTTGTCTGTCTGTCTATCTGTTTGTTTGTTTGTTGGTTCGTTCGTTCGCTTGCTGGCTTCCTTGCTGGGTGGTGGGTTGGTTGGTTGATTGGTTGGTTCGTTGGTTGGTTGGTTGGTTGGTTGGTTGGTGGGTGTGTTGGTTTGTTACTTTGTTTGCTTGTTTGCTTGTTTCTTTGCTTGTTTGTTGTAGTTGTAGTTGTAGTTGTAGTTGTGGTTGTGGTTGTAGTTATAGTTGTAGTAGTAGTAGTAGTAGTTGTTGTTGTTGTTGCTGTTCTTGTTCTTCTTGTTCTTCTTGTTCTTCTTGTTCTTCTTGTTCTTCTTGTTCTTCTTGTTCTTCTTGTTCTTCTTGTTCTTCTTGTTCTTCTTGTTCTTCTTGTTCTTCTTGTTCTTCTTGTTCTTCTTGTTCTTCTTGTTCTTCTTGTTCTTCTTGTTCTTCTTGTTCTTCTTGTTCTTCTTGTTCTTCTTGTTCTTCTTGTTCTTCTTGTTCTTCTTGTTCTTCTTGTTCTTCTTGTTCTTCTTGTTCTTCTTGTTTCTTGTTCTTGTTGTTGTTGTTGTTGTTGTGTTTGGTGTTTGTTGTTTGTTGTTTGTTGTTGATGTTGTTGATGTTGTTGATGTTGTTGATGTTGTTGATGTTGTTGATGTTGTTGATGTTGTTGATGTTGTTGATGTTGTTGGTTGTGGTTGTGGTTGTGGTTGTTTGTTGTTGTTGTTGTTGTTGTTGTTGTGGTTGTGGTTGTTGTTGTGTTGTGGTTGTTGTTGTTGTTGCTGTTTTTGTTTTTCTTGTTGTTCTTGTTGTTCTTGTTGTTCTTGTTGTTCTTGTTGTTCTCGTTGTTCTCGTTGTTCTCGTTGTTCTCGTTGTTGTTGTTGTTGTTGTTGTTGCTGTTGTTGTTGTTGTTGTCCTTGTTGTTGTTGTCGCTGTCACTGTCGCTGTCGCTGTCGCTGTCGTCGTCGCTGTCGTTGTCGTTGTCGTTGTCGCTGTCGTTCTCGTTGTCGTTGTTGTTGTTGTTGCTGCTGTTGTTGTTGTGGTTGTTGTTGTTTCATGGTATATTATTTCTTAGCGTTGTTGGCACAAAAGCTGCAGGATATGGTCAAGAGAAAAACAACCAAAGAAATAAAAATTAACCAAGAAACAAAAGAAAACAAGTAATAAAAAAGACAAAAATCAAGATACCAAAGAAGCCACAAAAAACAAGAAACCAAAAGACACAAAGTTAGCCCCAGACCTGAAAGAAACTATCCTTCAAGGAAAAAAAACGTCCAAATTGATATCCGCACAAGTCATTGTGCTTTCCAACAAGAAAAGCACAATAGTTTTGAAGATTTATCTCCATCCCCTCACTGCAGCCAGGAATGATACCCCATCGCTCCATCACTGGCGTAATGATTTTTTTAACAAATCGAGAGCCAAAAACGCGCCGACTGGTTCACTTTGACACATGTTTGATGCCATATGGTGAAACAGTGGACTGTTTCATCTCAACGACACATAGTTTAAAAATCTTTAAATCGTAAACATCAATAATGGATTCGACACATCTGTGGCATACTGGCTTTGGCGTTGGGTATATCCCGTTAGGCTAGGTATTGCTGCTACTGTTTCTACCATCGCAAGACGAAAAGGAAGAAATCCACTTTGGAAAAAGAACATACCAATTAAACTGGTTGGTGGTTTCAATCCCTCTGAAAAATATTAGTCCGTTGGGATGATTATTCGTTCCAAACCACCAACCAGTAAAACATCGCGAGGAAACCCCATATGCATCGTTGTCTACGAAAAAACAAAGGACATACGCAGAGGAAAGGCATTGAGGCGAGAAAATAAGAAAATATGCAGCAGGTTGCATTTGATCCAAAACGGACATACGCAGCACGTTTCCAGTTTTGCTTTTGTGAGTTTCATACGGGCATTCACGTTTCACGAAACCCTTCAACTGTTCGAGTAACGCATTGAGAGACCTGAAACGAAACTACCTTTCCCAACAAAACATGGGAGGGGCCATGGCTCATGTCAAGCTACCTTTAACCTCAAGCTACGCACGAAAATTAGCAAAAAGAAACCTAAAACGCTGCATGGTGTAGAATAGTGTGGGAAATCCAACATTTAAGAAAATCAGCACCGTTCTGGGATACTTCATATGCATCTTGACTAAGTTTCGTATCCTGGCTTTACCACCGTCCTATACCCGTCTTATCCACGTTGGCTGCGCTTCAAGGGACCAACGCCATCCATAGCGGCATGCAAAACCTTCGCCTGAACCCCCTTTAAAGGGGGCCACCATAACCCCTAACCCCAAACCCTTCAGAAGTGAAGGAGAGCCAGAAACAGGTGTCAACAGGTACCCCCCAGGACGATCGTACACTGCGGAGTTCAGGGACGCAGCACAGGGCCAATTTTACAGAGATTCTGAGGGGTCAAAAGATCAATGAAAAACAGATAGAACATCAAGAGATAGAACAATAGATCTGGATAGATGTATGAATAGATAGATGGATAGATCTGGATAGATCTGGACAGACATATCTGGATATAGATAGATGATAGATGAATAAAGGTGGACAGATATGTCTAAACGCAAAGCTGTTCTAAGCGGGGGCGCATTTCGCCGACATCGAGTTCTCGCCTCGTTCCGTTGCGGTCGGATGGTTTTTGGTAACGGATGGTTTTCCAAGGCTCGTTGATGGACCAACACAGGGAGGTCTTACCAACAGCGAGGCGTGTTTTTTGGTTGATTCGTTCAACTCCTTTGTGGTTTACCACGTTTTGAACGGATCCAAATTTCAGAGTTGGACAGTTGGACCGTTGATGTCTTCCATGGTTTGATATCATAATTGCCATACAATTGCCATATGTTGCCATCGTGAAAAGCCTTAAAAAATCGCGCCTTGCATCGCCTTGGAGCAAGGAGTGCCAGAAATCGCCTTCGGTGATTTCACCTGGTTCCGCGAACCGGACCATGATAGGAAGGCATTACAAATGGGTTACAATTGGTTACAATCCTCGTTCTTATCAGAAATCACTCAGATTATCTAAGATTTATAGTTGCCATGATGGGTTTGTATTATGGCTTTGACTTTTGACCCAAAAGAAACATGGGGTTAGCTCGAAAGTGGGAACCCCAAAATCCAAGGCATGCTGCAAGGTGGTTCCTCATGACATCACCAGCTGGCCCAAAAAAACCACCGCGCCGAAGTCCTGCCTTCTCAGTTGTACCAGCGGACCTCGGAGACCATGATTTCGCCAAACATGTTTGAATCCAGCCAAAAAATATTGGGATGTAACATGATGTAACCAGAGAAAAACCTAGGGATTTCATTTTAAAAAAAGGGGCCGAAAAGGGGCCGGGATGAATGACACTAGCGTCTTCTCCATTTTTTTGCCGTGGGTGGGCACCAACGATTTCACCAAATCCAAAATCCACCAACACGTTCCAAAGTTCACTCGAAAATCGATTTCTTCCATGATTTTCTTTTGATGAAAAAAAAACCTCAAAATCCCTAGATTTCCCAGTGAGCCCCGCACTGTTTCGGCGCCCACCCGGTCACGTCCAAAGGCAGAGAAGGTGGCATACTCAGCCAGAGTCTCGCCTGACCTGGGGTGTTCGGGGTGTTCGCCCTTAAAGGGGCTCCGCAACCAACAGCAACGGACCGCGGGGGATAGAAAAGCATCAAACCACAGGGATTTCACCGGGATTTCAGCCTCAAAAAATCCATGGAAAATACCAGAAAACTCACCATGAAAAATCGCCAAGCTTCATCAAGCTGTGTATCAAAACATAGTGTTCGATGTTGTCGTTTCTTCCATCAACCAACGGTAAACCTGTCAACAAGCCTCCAAGTAACCCGCAGAGTAGGTAAGTTGCTCGTATGGTGCTTTTTTGAGACAATGAAGGTTTAGTAAGGGCTAACATTGTTTTTTTCAGCATCAAACATAAGGAATTAACCCATGATGGGATATGTTGATACCAATACCCTGGAGAAACGATTCCCTTCTTACAATACTCTACAGTTAACTATCATACATACCAATACCCTGCAGAAAGCAGGTGTTTTTTGTTGTGTCTGCATTGTGGCAACAAAAGAAACAAAAATTGACCTGCCAATGGAGTTCCCCCAATATTTGGAACCCCATAATCGCATAGCATCATCTTCACCATTAAAATGTATCAAAATGGCATGCACCTCGTTCTTTTTGGGTATACCGGTGTAGCCTATTCCTAATCCAAACAAAGGCCCGGAACTGTCTGCCCTCCGCTAACCGGCAACATGGTTTGCTGGACAATTTTGAAAATAGTTGCATGACTTTCCCAGCTATAAACCCTCTATATGGGATGTTCATTCAAGCCACCATTTATAGATGTTGTTCCCAGCTATAAACATCTATTTATAGATTATGATTCATGATTTCCATGGATGTCCCATATCATTTTCATCATTTTCCCATTACCATCTTTGATAAGTAGTTTACCCTCTGGTAAACGTTTACGTAACTATGGAAAGATCCACCATGCTATTAATGGCTAAATCCACTATAAATCTATGGCCGTCTTCAATAGCTGTTTGTATGTCTACCAGAGGGTAAGTCCCATTATCATCCCATTCTTCGCCATTGTTCACCCAGTGTTAAACCATCAAAATCACCATTAAATCACCAATCAATCACCATGTTTTTCGTGGTAAGTCCCATTCAATCCTAGGAATTTTCCAATTTTTTCACCATTTTTTCACCATCAGAGTCTGCCCCATGATGCCATAGACCTTTTTGTCACACCGGGTGCCCGGACAATTGCCCCGGGATGCGCACCACGAGGAGCCGTCGGCCCAGGCCGTGGGCCGAGCCATTGGGGTTTGGTCGACGCACCGCAAGCGCCTTCCGTGAGTAAAGTGCCCCAAACTGGGCCAAAAGCATGGGAAAAGGATGGGAAAATGATGAAAAATGATTTTTATTTGAAGAATTTTTGAAGACAAAATGATAGAAATTCTTTGGAGGTAGCAAAAACTCCACCAAGAAGTGTGATTTTTGAATGGATGGTGTTGGCCACAATTCTTGGTTTTTCTCTGGTGATGGTCTCATAACCAACCTCCGGGATTGCCTGCACATCTGAAGGTACTGTTGGTGAAGAATCGTCGGAAAAACATGGAAAAACATGGAAAAACATGGAAAAACATGGAAAAACATGGAAAAACATGGAAAAAGATGGAAAAAGATGGAAAAAGATGGAAAAAGATGGAAAAAGATGGAAAACCTAAAAATGTTCATGGTTGATAGTCATGTTATTCACTGTTCTTTTCAAAGTTGCAAATTGGGGACTTGATCTTTAAAAAAAACATGTGGGGATAAGGTATAGGTATATAAACCAAACAATATGCCTTGACCAGCGCATTTGTGGTTGCAAGGTATTACAATGTTGGAGGTAAATGTGGGATCCTCTTCTATAAATAAAACGAAGTAGCAAAATGCATTGACCAGTCTTCGATTAAAACGGAAACAATCTGGCAAACTAGGGTAAACGCAAAACTAAACCATCCCCCATGTTACCAAAAATTTGGCGGTACATACTTAATAGACAATCCCCAATTCGAATTTAATGATTTGACTTTACAAGGATTTCCCAGATGATTTGGTGCATGAGAAAGGTAGCTCGGAGTTGTGGGTCGAGACTCTGGTGCCCTGGTGAAACCGTGAAACCCAAAACAGCTGGGTATTTTGGTGTTCATCCCCCCTAAGGATGGTAAACATAACTATTGATCCATCCCCAAAGAGGATCATAGAGGATCACCCTCATCCATTTTGCCAAACACCAACCGTTGACCTTTCAATTTTTCCAAGAAATGGTTCAAAAACTGCAAAAAAAAAACATAGACGATGGTTAAAAAAAAAACGCCTGAAACATAGTGTTTGAAAATTACGTTGATTTTGTTTGGTGAAATTCATGGAATTGAATGTTCAAAACAAAAAAAACTAAAATTGGGGGGCGTCCCCAAATCATTCAAGTCATGGATGAGCATTTCAGTATTGAAACCCATGGTGATTTGGGACTCCCCCATGACTTAAGAAACCACCAATTATGCTCCAGTTATGGCGCCTGCGCATCTGGAACCACCGAGAAACGATGCCTCGGGGCAAAAACACAGCGGAAACGGGGGTGTCATCGCCATGAACGGAGATGAGAGATGATGATAATAGGAATTACCATGGTTTTGACATTTCCATGTTTGTTCCAACTTGAAATCAGATAGTCAACCCTGATCATTTTTCAAAATTCGAATGAATGTCTATGAAATCCGATCATGTTTGGCCAAAGGAAGTTTAGTTGAAAATTTTCCGAACTATGGACGAGGGTCATGGTTAGCATGCACGCCATCATGTCAACCCCATCATCATGTCAACCACATCATCATTTCAACTCTATCATCAAGTAAGTAGTTGGGAAGCGCAAGAGTTCGGAAGAGTGTGAACGCACGGGTGAAAACTAAAACAATCTCGGGCGCAAAACCCTATGTTTTTTCGGGTACAGGGGTCGCCGAAGTAGGGTTTCTGTTTCCGCGGTTTTGGGCCTAGATCTGGCAAAGATGGCGACAAAAAGCGTACAGGACTCTAGCGAAAGTTTGCTTTGCAGTTCACAATGTGTAAAACTGAGGTACGTGGAGCACTTTTGGACGATGAGGTGGGCAAAATGTGCACCCAGACTCTAGCAAGAGCTCGATTTCATATAAAAATCGTAAAACTAGCATGTTCCGACCACTCTTGGCAGATCAGGTCGGCAAAATGTGCACCACACGGAACCCAACTTTTTTTAAATTCATGTACGTATACGGATGAGGCTGGTGTTTCATATTACCTCCAGGAGTATATACTTTTTTTGTGGGGGCCGGTGGCCCGGCCGGTGGCCCGGCCGGTGGCCGGACCGGTGGCCGGACCGGTGGGCCGGTGGGCCGGTGGGCCGGTGGGCCGGTGGGCTGACTGAGGGAAGTGGTGACTAAGGTAAGTGGTGATGACGAAGGGTGGTGAAGTGGTGATGACGAAGGGTGATGAAGGGTAGCTCGTTTGTGCGGCCGGTGCGGCTACGCTCGTTCTGACGTTTTTTTTCCCGCACTGTAACTGTGGCTTCAAGCTGCTTTGGGTGTGTTTGTGTGTGTGCGCGTAGTACTATGCGTTTGTGGAATCTCTGGTTGCAGATCGCATTGGAATGCCTGCATGATTGTTGTCATCTTGCGGGTTTGCCACGTGATGGTGCAAAATGGCTGCAGGAAAGTTGCATGGGACTCGTGTTGGGGAGGAAGCCGGAGCGCGAAACCTTGATTTTTAACCTTTTAGGGTTGCGGCCGGCAATGAAGGGCAGCTTGTCTCACGCGCGGTGGGTGCGGCTTCGGTTTGTTGTCATGTTCTGTTGCCACGTGCGTAGCTACATGCGAGTTAGCTACGTGATGTTGCTAAACGCTGTGTGCTGGTTGCATCAAAGTTTCTTGGCGCTGCGGCTGCATGCGCAATACTATTGTCTTTTGCAGCTGGGCATCGTAATCGTATTGGAATGGCTGCATCAATGCTGCGATACTGATTTGTCAGCAGATTTTCTCAATTTTGGCACTGGTGGTTTTCCTTTTAGAATTCCTTTTAAAAAGTGCTTCAAAATCGTGTTTTTTGCTTTGGCGCCGAGATCCGGTTTTGGAGCTGCGATTTCTGTTGCCATTATGTACAAGAAAGCGTCTCTGTGCAAAACTTCTTTCTGTAAAAGTTTGCTGTGTGTAAAAGATTTTGTGTAAAAGCTGTGTGTAAAAGCTCTCTGTGTAAAAACTTGATGTGTGTAAAGGCTTTCTGTGTCTAAAAGCTTCTCTGTGTAAAAGCTTGCTGTGTGAAGCTTTCTGTGTGTAAGAGCTTCTCTGTGTGTAAAAGCTTCTCTCTGTGTAAAAGTTTCTCTGTGTAAAAGCTTCTCTGTGTAAAAGCTTGCCGTGTGTAAAAGCTTCACTGTGTGTAAAAGCTTCTCTGTGTAAAAGCTTCTCTGGGAAAAAACTTGCTGTGTGTAAAAGCTCTCTTTGTGTAAGCTTTGTAGTACAAAGTAGTACTGGGAAATGCTTTGTGCAAGCTTTGCAGGACAAAGAAGTATTGGGAGTACTTTGTGCATAATTTGGGAGTACAAAGTAGTACTGGGACGTACTTTGTAGTACAAAGTAGTACTGAGTAATGCTTTGTGCAAGCTTTGTAGTACTGGGGCGTGCTTTGTGTAAGCTTTCTAGTACAAAGCAGTACTGGGAAGTACTGTGTGCAAGCTTTGTAGTACAAAGTAGTACTGGGACGTGCTTTGTGCAAGCTCTGTGCAAGCTTTGTTGTACGAAGTGGTACTGGGAAGTGCTTTGTGCAAGCTTTGCAGTACAAAGCAGTACTGGGAAGTACTTTGTGCAAGCTTTGTAGTACAAAGTAGTACTGGGACGTGCCTTGCGGGTACTTTGTGCAAGCTTTGTAGTACAAAGTAGTACTGGGAAGTACTTTTTGTAGTACAAAGTAGCAATGGGAAGTACTTTGTGCAAGCTTTGTAGTACAAAGTGGTACTGGGAAGTGCTTTGTGTAAGCTTTGCAGTACAAAGTAGTACTGGGAAGTACTTTGTGCAAGCTTTGTAGTACAAAGTAGTACTTGGACGTGCTTTGTGCAAGCTTTGTAGTACAAAGTAGGACTGGGAAATGCTTTGTGCAAGCTTTGTAGTACAAAGTAGTACTGGGAAGTTATTTGTGCAAGCTTTGTAGTACAAAGTAGTACAGGGAAATGCTTTGTGCAAGCTTTGTAGTACAAAGTACTACTGCGACGTGCTTTGTGCAAGTTTTGTAATACAATGTATTTTGTTTAGGCTTTTCTGTGTAAATGCATCTGTGTCTCAAGCTTCTGTGTGGAAAAGCTTTCTGCGCGCAATGGTTTTTTTTGGTGCGAGAGACTTCTCTCTGACAGTAAGAGCTTTCTGGCGAGCAGAAGAGCTGAGATGAGTTGAGAACTTCGAGGAGATGAGAAAGGTTGATCAGTGCTCGGATGAGAGGAAAACAGTTGAGAAGAACTTACTTAGATATCCCTGTGTGCATTCTGCAGAGAAGTTGTGCCCACTAAACCGTTTACAAACACAGCCTTATACTACAAAATGATGCTTGAATCTGAACCAACCCCCCTTGCTACAAAATGGTTTGGGAGTTTTTATGATCGATCAAAAGCCAATGTCCGTCACTACAAAATGACTTTACGTAACCATTTTGTAGTGAAAACGGGTTGCAATGAAAAATCATGATTCGCTACTAAATGGTTTCTGGAAACTTCACTCTAAATCTTTGGTTCACTTTCCGGGCCCAGGTCATAGTATTTTTGCCGAGCACAAGTAAATACAACCTTGGGATTTCCATCGGATTCCAAGAATTGACCTTTCAAGAGGTTTTCTGCTACGATGCTCAAAGCTATGGGGCAACAAAAACGATCTAAGCGCACAATTTCAAATTCAATTGATCGGTTTTAAACCAAACAAAAAGCATGTTTTTCGAACTTTTTGGGGCTTATCTGGAGGGAGACGCAGTAGGTTCTACAAAAGGTTGTGCGCGCGTGTGTCACTACAAAATGCAGTGCATGACAAAAGTCATCCAGAAACTAGGACATCACCCATCGAATCTGTGCTTTGAGGGTGAATGGATATCTGAGCATGGATTCTTTGAACTTGGGTGAAACTTGACTATTGGACAAAACGAGCAGGAACCTGGTCGAATGGGCTACATTTAGACTATAATTAAAAATCGCATGCAATGGCCAAAAAAGGTGTGACAAAAGCACGGCGCAGAGATTTTGAACTGCAATCGTCATAGCTATGGGGCAACAAAAACGATCTAAGCGCACAACTTCAAATTCAATTGATTGGTTTTTGAGAGGTTTTGATGACACCATTGGATGGCTTAGAAAATAAAGCCTCCTGTTGCTAGAGCGAGGTTCTTTCTCACATTTCGACGTTTGATTATGCGCGCAGGCCGAGCATGACTGGCAGAAGAGGGCTTTGGGGTTTCCGGTATGTGACACAACGCATCCCAAAATAAATCACTACAAAATGCGTTTCCGATTTATGAGTGCCAAATGGAACGCCACTACAAGATACAGTGCGCACCCTTTTACTACAAAAACTGGTGCACGGGTCCATTTTTTTTGCTTGAATTATCCACGAATCAGAGGATGGTACCAAGCACGTGTTCACCCTTTTAGTAGTGGAAATGGTAAGGGGGATACTTAGATGACATGTGAGAAGAGATGTGATGAGATGAGAAGAGCTGAGACATGAGGATGATGAGGCGAGAAGAGCTCAGATGAGATGAGATGAGATGAAGTGTGGAGTGTGAAGTGCGAAGCGCGGGCTGCGAAGAGCGCAGTGTGAAGTGTGAAGAAAAGGTTCGCTTGGCGTGCGTTGCAAAGTGATCGCTCGCAGGTCATGCTCTTGGACACAACAGGTTCGCACAGCACGCACCCACGGGCTCGGCTGGCGCGCAGCGCATGCAAGTTCTATAGATAAGAAAGGTCTTGTAGTATAACCCCAAGGCAACTTCCGCCCCGCCTCGTGCGGGTACTACTGCTATCTGAAAGCGACAAGTTATGGGAAAAATGTGGATGACTGACGGTTTTCTCAACCAGGCCCTAGGTGTTTATCAAATTCTGGGGGCTCTCCATGCGCGTTCTCCGTCCCAAAATAGCCTTGGGTTTGGGCCCCACCTGTCTTGGAATCATCCGGAAGCACCGTTAAGCCCAGCCAGTTGGAATTTCTTATATATGTTAATTACTTTAGTTAGTTATCTTTAGTTTGTCTCCAGGATTCAGATTTGGGAATGAGCCAAAAAAATCAACCAAACGGGGATGGGCTGATCACGTGTCGGAAAAAAGAAATGTTTGCGAATCTCAATGAGGCCTTACCCATACCAAACTAAGCATGACAATTGAACATGTCGAAATGTTTCTCGCGAAACCGTGCCAATATTGTGAATTAGGTACGACAACATTCCCGAAAAAAAACAGCGTCTCACGTATAAGAATGCCACTTCCCAAAGTAAGTTGATAAAGCAATCCCCAAAATAAATTACGGAAAAACACTACAAAAAAAAAGTGCGGAACTACATGTTCGATCGTTTTCGTCATGACTTTACTACGGTTTAGCGAGCTATGTTTCCCTTGACAAAGCAGGGTGGAGCCATTGCCGCCCCGGTGCTCCACCATGGGTGCCACATAGGCCGAATCCCCCGGCCGCAACAGCTGAGCCGAATCCTTGCCCCACCTTGGGTGTTGCCGGGGTGACACTGGGGGTCCTCCTGGGTAATAGCCCTGCATTAAAAGAACCCTAGGCCCTAGGCCGTTTAACTGGGACCATTGAAGTATCAGGTTTTGACTATTGGGGGACAACCCTTTAATAAACCATGGAGTATTAATCTGGGGTGAACATGATTGGATTATAAATTATAATGGAAAAGAACCATGGACTACGCTTTATTTATTGTTTAAATGGAAGAATTGGCTTTCATGGGATTTTCCCATGTATAAATGGAATCTAATTTGAAATAAGCATGGTTAGTAACCAGTCACCAAATAAGAATCTGGTGCGTTGCCGCTTGGCGGTTAACGTCAACGAACTAGGAAGTGGAAAACCGACAGATGCGAAGGTGTCTTGAACTTACAGAAATTGACCCTTGCAAGCAGAAAGAAACAGTGATAGAACGCAGATTGAATAGGATAAATGAATGGTTGAAAAACTTGAAATCTTGGGGGCATCCCCTTGCCTTGCAACCCGACAACAAATATATTAATAAAGTGCCCCAAAAAAGTTTCGGCCTTTAGCTTATGTACATATAATGCTCTTTGGTCGTCCCTTCGCAAAGGCCTCCGCCACCAGCGGGCCAAGCTAAAGACATCAGATCCCAACGCTAAGCACTGAAGGGAGGCCTCTCCAAGTTGCATGCGGCCCACGCCCCAACCCCTCTTGCGCGCATTGCTGGGCATCCGGCGTTAGCTCCACCGGAACGGAGCCAAAGTGGTACACAAAGGTGTGCAGCCCGCAAGATAAGCCTGACCACGTGAGATGTGTCAAGTTTTGGACTTGGGTTTCGGGCGTTTCCAGGTCATTGCGGCGTGATACATGCAAGAAAGCCTACCGTAGTGAAATTATGCAGTGCGTACCCCCAAAAAAAAACGGCAAAAACATGAACATCAACGAACCAACGAAAGACATCAAACCCTTTGAAATCCTGTTGAAATGAAAGGGGGACGTGCTTTACCAATAGTATCTGGCTAGTTTGTACCCTCAAAGCTGGCTTGTGGAAGCAAGTATTGCAATTGAATATGCAAGATTCTGTTGGTAATCCATACATAAGATATACAAGTGGTTCCCGGGCAAGCCGGGGGGCGGAGGTTTCAAAACTGAAACGCCTATAGCCTTATAGAACGGAACGAAGACTGTGCCTACAGGTGACAGCGAAGCCTTCGGTGCTTCGCAGCAGTAATCTCTCGATTTGTTACATGTCTCATCTCAAGTGATCTCATTGCATCTCATCGCATCTCCTGTCACTTCATCTCACTCGATGCATGCAGCTCACTTTGATTTCATCATGTTTCTTTGCATCTCATCTCACTTCATCTGCGTGTGAACTTTGTCTTCTCATGCAATTAGTCATCTTGTCCTGCCACAGTTTTTCATGTTTTGCTCAATATTTTTTCTGTTCATCTGACACCAGGTCATCTCAGCTCATCTCAGCTCGCCTTACCTGAGCCTCCCTCAAAAACTGAGAAAGTTTAAGATGTGAAAAGGAGGCTTTGGTGCGAGACGCCCCTCAAAAACTGAGAAAGTTGAAGATGTGAAAAGGAGGCTTTGGTGCGAGACTTCCCTCGAAAACTGAACGTTGAGGATGCGAAAACAAAGCTTTGGTAAGAGACTTCCCTCAAAAACTGAGAGTTAAAGATGTGAAAACGAAGCTTTCGTGCCAGCCTTCTCTTTCTCGTGAGACTTCTTTGCTATGAGGTCTCTTTGCTATGGAACTTCTTCGCTATGAGATCTCTTTGCTGTGATACTTCTTTGCTATGAGATCTCTTTGCTGTGATACTTCTTTGCTATGGCAGCTATGGGCTATGAGATCTCTTTGCTGTGAGACTTCTTTGCTATGAGAGACTTCTTTGCTATGAGAGACTTCTTTGCTGTGAGAGCGAGAGCTCTTTGCTATGAGATTGCTGTGAGACTTCTTTTGCTATGAGATCTCTTTGCTATGAGATCTTTTTGCTGTGAGACGTGTTTGCTATGAGATCTCTTTGCGATGAGATCTCTTTGCTGTGTGATCTCTTTGCTGTGAGGCTTCTTTGCGGTGAGACGTCTTTGCTGTGAGGCTTCAATGACTTCCAAAGATCCGTAACATGGAAGTTAGACTGTCAAATTCAAACGTCCTTTGATCAGGTATTTCTAAGACATTTTGTACCGATATCCGATAACTACTTCTGCCTGCACAGGGTGCATAGCAGGGAAACATGTGTAAAAACGTCAGGTGGAAAAACATCAGGTGCATCTATTTGTATGGGATCCTGCAGGCCTGCATGTAGGTATATACACATTTCCCATCATTTCCCATCATTTCCCATCATTTCCGGACAGAACGCGTTGAGTGTCAGTATTGGGGCATTCACAAGAACACCTGGTGTCCATTTGGAAGAGAAATCAAAAGCAAAAGCAAAGAAAGACTGAGGGAAAAATAATAAAAGAGCAGAAAGCTTTCAAATCCGGAAAAAAAAAACTACTGCTCAATCCCTGACCACTCTTTACATCAAAATGCTCGTTTCAGGAGCTCGCAAAGGGGACCCCCACGACAACAGTAGATTGTGAGTGATAACAGACGGCGACAGAATTATAGAGACAAAATTCTTCATAGAACGTCCCAAAATTTTGTGCAAAACAGACTTGCGTTTTAAGAGAATGACAAGAAGTACGGGAAGTTAATGTTAGCAAAAATAAGCCGCCTATATTTTGATGGCTCATAGCATCCGTTTATAGATCAAGCCAGAGAACTGTCACATGGCGGTGCCAGACACTGGGTTTCCGATGTTTCAAGTAGGCTTTTGCAACAAAGTGAATTTTAAAAAACACAGCGGGCGTCATCAATATATACTATATATATGCATATGTATGTATGTGTGTATAAATATGTAAATATATACATATATGCATATAGCCACATGTTCTTCTTTAGCTATTTCGATGTTTTTTATGTGTCAATTTGTTTGTGTTTGTATGTGCGTGTGTTAATGTTCATGCAGACATGTAAGAATGTACGCATGTATGCAAGGGTGCATGTATGCAAGGGTGCATGTATGCAAGTGTACATATATATGTGTATGTATATGTGTGTATGCTCACCGACCCTTCCTTGGTGATCATATAGTTCTAGACTTGCAATGATTTGAACATACACATTTTTGGATATGTATATGTATGTGCACAACTATAGATATACTTGCTGTATGTGACCAGACATAGCAATGGAAAATCTCCTATGGAGCTCGTGACTCTACCGGCATCACTGGTCAGGTCCACACCTTTACTTTGGGACGAATGTTTGAAACTACCGGCCAATAGAATCTATGTACTTACGAACCTCAAAAGTAGTATCTCTTCGCCGACTAAACTAGCGTCCTTTTTTAAGCCGGCTGGCTGTTGCGCCGTTTTGGAAAGCAGCTTTCTCTTCAGCTTGGGATGGTGGCCTCTACAAAACGATCATCATCATTGCTGAAAACCCAGCAATGAACCATGTAGAATAATTGGTAGTTACATGTAATTACTGTAGTGATACTCCTACTTATCATGTCATGTGTCAAATACCCTACTTCCAAATAAACCATTCTTAAATCTGTTTTCAGTAAATTCCATCCCCCATGTTTTGCCATAAATGGCTGGTATTTATCGCATCAACATATTGGGGTGGTTTATTATTGCTGGCTGCTGATTTACCCAAGGATCTTCACACCGAAATTCTCCAAGGATCTTCAGAGAATCTCAGCACTAAAAGACATCCAGAACCCCGGCTTGTTCAGCTGGTCGTAGCTTTTCCCATGTACAGAAACTGTAAATCAACGGTATATAGTCAACTTAACTATTGCTTGAAAGTCCATTGTGAGCTTGTAAACCCAACTTTCTGGATACACCATGAGATACCTTTAAAAAAATGGTTTGATAAATTTCATACTGTAAACCACTATAAACCACTAATCACAATCAGTCATGATGGTCAAGAGCCGAACATCATAAATTATCTCGTTTGTATCCACTGCTGACCATTTATTCATTGTATCTTAAATGTGTGTTTATCAACATGTATGTACAACCTCACCTGTCCCAAAGTCTTCTTATCAATCTCTCAGTCAACGTCCGCCCTGTTTTTTGGGGTATCAAATCCAAATCCTTGACCTCAGGATACTTACGATCATGTGGGGAAACTCAATTCGTATTTCCAACTGGCTCCCCATGGCTCATGGGGAAAATCAATTGAAAATTGCCATTTATAGTATTTTATAGTTCTGTTCGTTGACCAGAGGCTACAAAGCCACCATTTTACGATCCATCCATTCTCATTCTCCACCTTCACCCGGCTGCGCTGCGTCCAAAACTTCCAGTTCGAAGGTCTTCAAATCAGGCTGATGCCTGGCAAAATGGCAAGTTTCTCCAAGAAATTACATACATACGTACATTTATATATATATGTGTGTGTGTGTTTCATATATATATACATACATATATATATACACGTATGTACAAAACCCCAGTTACCAACCAATCAGTAAGCTCTACACGTCCATTTACATTGGATGTTCCTATATTTTCCAATACAGTAATTTCACATTAAAACCTCCATTTATATGGGGATTTTCATGCATTTTCCTAGCCCAGTGAATCCACTTGGTAGCCATGCCCACCTGGTCCGCGCCAGCGGCGCCAGCACGTAGCTGCGCGACTTTCGCGCTTTGCTGCGGCTGCCAGCCGCGGAGGTGACCACCACCTCGAGGTGCATGGCCATATATCTGGCTAATCTGAAATAATCTGAACATCACCATTAACCATTAACCAACATCATTAACCATTATTATCCATGATTAACCATCATTAATCACCATTGACCAACCAGATATCGTTATTAAAATTACCCTCTGGTTATTTGTTACATAGCCATGGTATAGATGGCCCATAGAAATAGATGGTTTACCGAACTTAAAAATGGGTGGTGATTTTCCATGGCGAACTGTTAAATAACCAGATGGTAATCTGAAACGTTGGGCCTTTCACTTTGTTAGGGCTGCCACCCTGCGGACTGTTTGATTTGCCTCCCCGTTTGAGGCCGGATGTTTTGTGTAAAACCCTTTCAATGCCGTGCCTTTCGCATTGCCATTAACACGTGTGGCAGGTGCGGAACTTGGTGACTGCCGTGGACTGTCTGGACGCTTGGCCGCCAACATAGGCGCAACACGGCCCTAAACAAGACCCAGAAGGTCTTTGGGCTGTTTCGGAGGGTCACAAGATTTGCTTGAGTCAGAGTTTGCAAAACCTATTCTTAGCAGCCCATATGGCCGAACATAGCAGCAACATGGCCCATGGAGGTCTTTGGGCTAAAAGCTGCTCTGCGCAAAGGCTTCTGTCTGTAAAAGCATCTATGTGCAAAGCTTCTGTGTGTGAAGCTGCTCGGTGTAAAATCTTCGGTGCGTACAGGATTCTGTGTGTAAAGGCTTCTGTGTGCAAAAGCTTCTGTGTAAAAGCTGCTTCGTGTAAAAGCGTCTGCGTGTAAAAGCGTCTGTGCGCAAAAGCGTCTGTGTGTGTAAAGCTGCTCTGTGTAAAGGCTTCTGTGTGTAAAAGCTGCTCTGTCTAAAAGCTGCTCTGTGTAAAAGGCACCTGTGTAAAAGCTGCCCTGTGTAAAAGCTGCTCTGTGTAAAAGGCATCTGTGTAAAAGCTGCTTCGTGTAAAAGCGTCTGCGTGTAAAAGCGTCTGTGTGCAAAAGCGTCTGGGTGTAAAAACGTCTGTGTGTGTAAAGCTGCTCTGCGTAAAGGCTTCTGTGTGTAAAAGCTGCTCTGTGTAAAAGCTGCTCTGTGTAAAGGCATCTGTGTAAAAGCTGCCCTGTGTAAAAGCTTCTGTGCGTAAGAGCTGCTTCGTGTAAAAGCTGACCTGTGTAAAAGCTTCTGTGTGTAAGAGCTGCTTCGTGTAAAAGCTTATGTCTGTAAAAGCTGCTTCGTGTAAAAACGTCTGTATGTAAAAGCGTCCATATGTAAAAGCTTCTGTGTGTAAAAGCTGCTCTGTGTAAAAGCGTCTGTGCATAAAATGCCTCTGTGTAAAAGTTGTCCTCCGTAAAAGCTTCTGTGTGTAAAGGCTTCCCTGTATAAAAGCTTCTGTGCGCAAAAGCTGCTTTGCGAAAAAGCTGTTCTGTGTAAAGGCATCTGTGTGTAAAAGCATCCGTGTGCAAAGCTTCTGTATGTAAAGCTTCTCAGCGTAAAATCTTCGGTGGGTACAGGATTCTGTGTGTAAAGGCTTCTGTGTGCAAAAGCTGCTTTGCGAAAAAGCGTCTGTGTGCAATAGAACTGGAGGTACATTTACCCTCTGGAAACTAACATAGCTATGGAAAATCACCATTGTCAATGGGAAAATCCACTATAAATCACCATTTTCAATAGTTATGTTAAATTACCAGAGGGTACATTTACACAGCCCCTACATTCGAAATGGCCACGGACTCAAGTGACTCAAGCCTCCGAACTTTGGCATGATGTGAGCGCCACCATTTGGTGAAGGGCTTCGTCATCCACTAAAAGCCCATCTATAGCTGGGTGTATCAACCAAACAAAAACCGATTTGTTTCGTGGTTAAAATAACACCATGGTACCCCCGCGCGATGGAAAAACATGGAAAAACCCTTCACATCAACCCCGACCCCCTTGGATTTGTCTTCTCTGGGTCCCCATGAATCCAAGCTGGGCAAATTTCACAACCTGAAGAAACACACTCCCATCCCCCGAATCGATGAAACACACCCAGTGAGATTTGGATTCGGATTTGACCAACTTCCATTTTTGGGGGAGATTTTTCACCAGCCAAACTTTCCAAAACCACCATCCAACCACCATCCAACCACCATCCAACCACCATCCAACCATAGAACCATCATCCAACCCACGCGAAGCACCTCCTCCTCATCTTTCAGCGGACAGACCATCAAATCACTCAGCCGCACGTGTAGCACCTCCGCCAGCGCCTGCAACTCCAACGCCGTGGCCTGGAATGCCGTGGGGAAAGTCACGGCACCCCCGGGTGTCTTTTTTGGGGGGAAAACAAATGGGAAAACACATAGAAATGCCAGGCATTTCTAAAAAAAACTCGAGATGAAAATGGGAGTGAAAATTGGGAATGGAAACATCGGAATGGCCGTTTAAAAAGCCGTTTCGAAATGAGATTGGGGTTGTACAACGGACAGGGTATCGCCAAAAAAAAACATACCCACATAATCCCACATATCTCAGTATAATGTAAAACCAATTGTAATATAGGTGATGATGGGGTATTAATAAGGTCTTCAATAGATTCGTTTAAGGATTTTTTTTAGTTTCAACCGGAATCAATGATTTTACACACGAATTGTAGGAGTTTCCTGTAAATGTTCCCTTCATCCAGTTTTGGGACAATTGGTCAATGGTGTGACTATAAAATTTGTTAAGTGCATGGATATGGATGCTACTTACCATTTTGAGATATGTGAAATTCTGCGATTCACACCGTGAGTGGCCACGCAAGCGTTGAATGATGAATCAACTGATCCTGAAGGTTGTTTGGTGACCAGATTTCCCTATCTCCAAACTGTTGAATCTTGTTTTGCAGCTTCCCAGGTTAGGAAAGAAACCTAGAAACCCAGCCTATGGTAGGAGTCTTCTGAGGGTTCTAAAATTCCCAACTTGGCTGGATCCTTTGTAAACCTCAGCCATTGTGGATTTATGGTGAAAGCAGCTTCAGTCAACCGTCATTTGTGGCTGTCCGCTTTCTCCTCATCTTTGGTTGACGCCAATCTTAGCTCCCGCGCTAAAAAAGAAAAGGGGCGACCCGGCTACCGCTCGTCAATATCAAAAGACGAGCGAATTAATTAAAGCAAAAGGCAACCCTGTATGGTTTACCAAGTAATGTGATTTTAAGCACGCATCCAAAGTTTTAGCATAGATTGGTATAAACCAAAAAAAAAGATGGGTTTGTCCGAAACTGTGGCATTCCTAAATCTGACTAATCATCAGATCAATGGCCATTTCAGGAACCTAAATTGGAGGTACCTACCATATATATGGCCTATTTTTTAGGCCTAAATTTCAGGGAATATTCCTACAAAATATGGCCAGAAAAATGGTACAGTACCTCCATTTTAGGGTCCTGAAATAGCCATTGAATGGTGGTTTGGAACATATATTATTGATGGGATATAATGGGATATCATGGTGTTTTTAATGGGAAATAATGGGATATAATAATCAATAATGGAACATGAATGTTTCGGGGTAGGTATGGCCCATTTTCAGACAGACCCATTTTCTACCGCGTTTTCCCGTACCATGGTGCGTCGCCTCTTGCCCAGCCACCAGCTCCTCCACTCTTCCTGCCAGGAAGTCTGCGGTGACGAGTAGAATTAATAGTTAGTATTAAGTTGGTAATTAATAGTTGGTAATTAATTTGTTTTTTTAAAAGTCTCGTAAAAGGTGTTTTTAAAGCCTCTGAGAAAAATGAACGTAGGGGGTACGAGTGCAAATGAACATGGTGACGGACGTGCGTACGACCCAGCGTACGTGTAAGCGTACGAGTGAACGGACGCGTGAAGTACGAGTGGACGGACGTGTGTGTACGAGTGGACGGACGTGTGAGCGTACGTACGTGCGTTGACACGTTCACTCGTCACGTGCGCGCGCACGTACGGATGATTTGGCGGTACCCCAATGACTTAGGTACCCCAGATACCCTAGGCTAAACTGACATAGATGTGGAAAATCGATGAGAATCGACCATGTCTATCCATTTATGAACGATTTTACTGGGGTTTCCTGAGTTTACCCTACAATGCGGGGCCCCCAGTTATAAGATGTAAGTTGGTTTGTAAACCCCTCAACTAGAGATATAAGATGTTATACGATGTTGTAAGATGTTATAAGATGTTATAAGATGTTATTAGATGTTATAAGATGCTGTAAGATGTTAAAGGTTATAGTTATAAGATGTTATAAGATGTTATAAGATGTTATAAGATGTTATAAGATGTTATAAGATGTTATAAAATGTTATAATTATCATAAACCATAGGTACTTTCATAAGCCATAAGTCATAAACCATAGTTAACGCAAGCTGTCCACGTGTCATCCATTTAACCATCAGCCGGGTCCTGGTGGCATCTTCAGCTGATCCACCAAATCCTGAAAGGTAAGACACTCCGCATCCAAGCGACGCCTGACGCAGCTCAGCAAAATTACGCCCTGGTTGGTTGATGATTTATTTATATACACATATCACTATTATATTATCACTATTATATATCAGTATTAAATATAAGTATTATATTGATGTATATACATGTATATATATGTATATATATATGTGTGTGTATATATATGTATATATATGTATATATATGTATATATATGTATATATATATGTGTATATATGTATATATATATATGTGTATACATATGTATATGTGTGTATATATATGTATATTTGTATATATATATATACATACAAATATATATATATATTTATATAAATATGTACATATATATATGATATATGTATGTATGTATGTATGTATATATGTATATATATGTATATATATGTATATATGTATATATATGTATATATATATATACATATATACATATATACATATATATACATAGTATATGTATATGTATATGTATATATATGGACATATATGTATATGTATATGTATGTATATATATATGTACGTATATACATATATATATGTATATATATATGTATGTATGTAATATATATATATGTACATATATTTTATATACGTATATATATGTACATATATTTTATATATATGTATATATGTATGTATATATATTTATATACAGGGCACCCGCAGCTTGGGTAAGACATTTCGCGCTGACGCTGACGACGCATTGTGACGACACATTGGCGATGCCCCCGGCTCCCCTGACGACGCATTGTGACGACACATTCCCTGACGACGCATTGCCCCCTGACGACGCATTACCCCCTGCAACGCATTCTGACGACGCATTTCCTGACGACGCATTGCCCCCTGACGACACAATACCCCCTGACGACGCATTGTGACGACACATTCCCTAACGACGCATTGCCCCCTGACGACGCATTACCCGCTGACGACGCATTCTGACGACGCATTTCCTGACGACGCATTGCCCCCTGACGACACAATACCCCCTGACGACGCATTGTGACGACACATTCCCTAACGACGCATTGCCCCCTGACGACGCATTACCCCCTGACGACGCATTGTGACGAACATTCCTAACGACGCATTGCCTGCCCCATTGACGACGCATTACGACGCCGTTACCCCGTGACGACGCATTGTGACGACACATTCCCTGACGACGCACTGCCCCCTGACGACGCATTACCCCATGACGACGCATTGTGACGACACATTCCCTGACGACGCGTTGCCCCCTGACGACGCATTGCCCCCTGACGACGCGTTGTGACGACACATTCCCTGACGACGCGTTGCCCCCTGACGACGCATTACCCCCTGACGACGCATTGTGACGACGCATTCCCTGACGACGCATTGCCCCCTGACAACGCATTACCCCCCTGACGACGCATTGTGTGTATATTATTGCCTGACGACACATTGCCTGTTGACAGGCTAGGCATGACGAGCAAGGGCGCAGGCGTACTGTATTCTTTGTATGTGGGAAGATAAATAGAGGAATGTAGAGAGGAAGAGGAGCCGGAGGGCAGATAGGGATTTGGCCTGACCACCAAGGCTAGGTTATGTCGAAATATAAAGCGTAGAGGTAATTATCAAGATCGTGTGGCGTGCTTTTGCAACCTCAGTTGAAGATCCTTGAGGCAAGGATCAATCATTAAGTTGAAGTAGTAGAACCTTCTTATCTTCTTACCAAACCCAAACGAAGAGAGCGCCGGAGTGTTCCAGGAGAAAGCTCAGGAAGTTCAATGAAGAGAGCGTGTAGCATTGAGAACATGCGGGAGTTGAGCGCGTAACATCAAGAGCCTGCTGGAAGTTCCAAGGCTAAAAGCATAGCACAGGAGGCTAGCATCAAGAGAACGCTGGCAGTTCCAAGAGGAAGTCAAGAGCGTAGCACCAAGAGCGTGTTGGAAGTTCCAAGAGAAACCTAAGCGAGCAATACCAAGAGAGCGTGTTGAAGGACCAAGAAAAACCTAAGAGTCTAGCATCCAGAACGTGTTGGAGGTCAGAGCGTAGCATCAAGCGAAGAACAAAAGAGCGTAGCAACTAGAGCGTCCTGGCGTGTTCCAGAACAAAGCTAAGAGCGTAGCAGGAAGAGCGTGACTTTCTCCAGACCGCAGCGTCAAGAGGCGGAGCGTAGCACCAACAAGAGCGCGTTGGAAGTTCCAAGAAAAATTATAAGAGCGTATCATCACGATTGTGGTGGACCGTAGCGTCAACAGCATCTTGGACTGTTCCAAGACGAGGTTCAGCGCGTAGCATCAAGAGAGTGTCAGAGCCGGAGCCAAGAACGTAGCATCAAGAGCGTGTTTTAATTCAATGCGTCACAAAAAGAAGCAAGAATAGCGCGCCATGCTTCAAGAGAAGCCAAGGGCGTAGCGTCAAGAGCATGCTGGCACGTCCCAGGACAAGGCAAAGAGAAAGTGTTGGAAGATAAAACACACCAAGAGCGTGTTGGAAGTTCCAATAGACAGCTAAGAGCGTAGCATCAAGAGCTTGCCGGACTGGCCCAGGAGAAAGCTAAGAGATGCTCAGAGCGTAGCAGCAAAAGCGTGGCGGAAAACTCAAGATTAAGCCAAGAGCGTAGCACCAAGAGCTTGTTCGAACTTCCAAGAGAAAATTAGCGTAGCATTCAAGAGGCGACTGTCTCCAGAGCGTAGCGTCAAGGGCGTGCTGAAACGCCTCAGGTGAAGGCCAAGAGCGTAGCATCAAAAGAATTTTCAAATCTCAAAGAGCAAGCCCAGAAGCTATAGCATCCAGAGCATTTCGTTTGTTACTCTTCCCTTTCGTTTTGTCTTCCCTTCTGTTCCCTACGTCGCTCCTTTCGTTTTAACTTCTGCTCCGTTCGTTACTTCCTCCCCATTGTTTCATCTTATTCGTTCACCTCTTTCTCCCATTTAAAGGCGTTCATTTCGCGAAGTCCGTCGTTTCGCTCAAATCTTCTGTCCTGTTCTTCCTGCGCTTCCTTTCCTGTCAACTCGTCCTTTTCATTGCGTCCGTCCTTTTGTTGCAACTCTTCCCTTCCATTCGTTGCTTCCTTCCTTTCGTTTCAACTCTTTGTAATCCCGTTCGCTGCTTCTTTCGTTTCAACTCTTCCCTTCTGTTCCCTATACGTCGTTCCTTCCGCTTTAAATCGGTTTAACTCTTCCCTTCCGTTCGCTACTTCCTCCCCCTCGTTTCAACGCTTCCATCCTGTTCATTTACCTCTTCCTTTCATGTCAATGCGTTCATGTCGCTATTTCCTTCCTTTTTTCAAAGTCTTACATGCGGTTTGTTTATCTCTTCCTTTTTTCCAAGTCGTTCATTTCGTTACCTCCTTCGTTATACTCATCATGATCGGTGTTGGGGTCCATAAACATACCCTTGAAACCGTGACCATGGTTCCGCCAGTTCCTGGAACTGGGGGCCCAGTTCCTAACATGACAGGCCCTTGTAGGGAAAATATGCAAGTGAACCAAACAAAGACGTCCGTTATACGGTGAAAACCCACCATGGACAAAAAAAATGTCCCTACGGTTTGCCAAAATAAAAACTAGATGCATATATGACATGCATGTAGGCTTTGAGTGTATGCATGCTTTTCTCTCCCAAGTCGTTGGTGAAAAAGTCGTCTTCGGGGGGCAATTCGTCTTCGGGGAATTCGTCTTCGGGGGGGAATTCGTCTTCGAATTCGTCTTCGGGGAATTCGTCTTCGCAATTCGTCTTCGGGGGGGAATTCGTCTTCGGGGGGCAATTCGTCTTCGGGGAATTCGTCTTCGCAATTCGTCTTCGGGGGGGAATTCGTCTTCGGGGGGCAATTCGTCTTCGGGGAATTCGTCTTCGCAATTCGTCTTCGGGGGGGAATTCGTCTTCGGGGGGCAATTCGTCTTCGGGGAATTCGTCTTCGGAATTCGTCTTCGGGGGGGAATTCGTCTTCGGGGGGCAATTCGTCTTCGGGGAATTCGTCTTCGGAATTCGTCTTCGGGGGGAATTCGTCTTCGGGGGGCAATTCGTCTGCGGGGAATTCGTCTTCGGAATTCGTCTTCGGGGGGGAATTCGTCTTCGGGGGGCAATTCGTCTTCGGGGAATTCGTCTTCGGAATTCGTCTTCGGGGGGGAATTCGTTTTTGGGGGGGCAATTCGTCTTCGGGGAATTCGTCTTCGGAATCCGTCTTCGGGTGGGAAGTCGTCTTCGGGGCGCAATTCGTCTTCGGGGAATTCGTTTTCGTAATTCGTCTTCGGAATTCGTCTTCGTCTGCGGGTGGAAATGTCTTACCCGCACAGCGGGCGCAATGTATATATATATATATATGTATGTATGTATGTATGTATATATATATGTGTATGTATATGTATGTATGTATATATATCTATATATGTGTATAGATATATATATATATGTGTGTATGTCACTATATTTATCACTATTGATGAGTAGTTTTTGATATGTAAGCCTAATTATTATGTATTACTACTCAAGATATTGGAGATTCTTGAGGTTATATAACTTATAGTACTCAAGATTACTTTGGGGATTATACTATTCAAGATATTATGGGGTTGTAAAACCCACGAGCTGGAATTTCTGGAATCCCTATTTGGCAGTTTTGAACACTGCTCAGTTCAAATATGTTAAAGTTGGTCACTTTCTGATCTAAAACCTTGGGTCAATAGGGTCAACATGGATCAACTTAGCATGTCGAATCAACACTGGTCGTTGCACTAGTAAACCTTGAAAAAATGTCAGTGTTTGATGCCCTTCAAACAAGGGAATGTGGCGATGCTTACTGCACACATCGGGAGATGTCATAGGTTTCTGTGAATTCAAACATATTCACCTTAGATATCCAATGGTTTAAATATACCTAAAAACCTTGGCCAATGGATCCAATGGTATCCAAAAAACGACGTTTTCGGGAACCAAATGGCTTCCAGTCCGCTGATCCCATCGATGTGCCAGTCCGGATCGTGGAAAAGACGTGATGATTTTGGTGTTTGCGATGACAGTTTGGTTTTTACCAACATAGGATTTGAAGATCACCCATAACAACAGCATTTATGATGGTTAATGGTGATTTATACATTGATTAATGGTGATTAATGGTGATTTAATGATGGTTAATGATGATTTATACATTGATTAATGGTGATTTAATGATGGTTAATGATGATTAATGATTAATGATGGTTAGCCAAATATCTGGTTGGTGGTTGACCTACCCCTCTGAAAAATGATGGAGTGAAAGTCAGATTGGATCATCATCCCCAATCTGGTTGGGGAAAATAATCCAGCCATGTTCCAAACCACCAACCAGTATATATTGTAGTACAGTAGTACAGATTTGCTTGGGGCCAAGGCGGCCAAGCCTCTACATATTGCAAACTTTGGATCAAAATCGTTATTTTTTTTTGAGAAATCGATGGCCTGTGTGATGTGGCATCTTGGCCCCCAGATGTGCCACGGTCAGAAGTGGGTCATCCCACCGTTCGAAAATGGGAATTCCCTTACAGGATCCTAAGGATCCTAAGGTGGAGGTACTGTACCATATAAGGCCATATTTTGTGGGGATATTCCCTTACATAGGCCTTACATAGGCCTTATATATGGTAGGTACCTCCAATTTAGCATCCTGAAATGGCCATTGATCTGTTGGCCACTATATCACTATGATTTCCTATTGATGGCGGTATGACAATCCCCCAATATTAACATGGTTCTAGAATCCAACTTTGACCATGGCACGAACAAGATTCAAGGCTGTGTCATGGTACGGTTTGGTTTCATCAGCAAAGTAAAAACGGCGGGGGAAATTTCTCCATACCCTGAAAATTCAACATGGGAACCCAAAAGATGAGTTCTGGAAGCGGATTTTTGCTGTTGGATTTGGGTTTTTGTCAATGTTCAATGTCCCGCTCCATGTTCTCTCTTTCAGGCGACCCAAGTACTAAGACTCACGAAACTCCATTGGGACATTGAAAACTATATTTGGATTTGATGATGAGAGGGTTAAAAAAAAATGAGTGGGTTCTCTTTTTTGATTCAAAAAATGTTGATTTATCGAGAAAAAAACAAAACTGTAAAATGGCTTTGTCTGAAAATAGTGTAGCCCTACAGCCAATGGTTTTGCTGATCATTATCCCTACTAAATGGATCAACAAATGGATATTTCATTGGGGGTATCACAACTCGGCACCAAGATCCATCAGATTGAACGATCATCCCATGGTCCGGATGGTAAGTGGTGAAACCCTGGGCGAATCCCATCACCAAGGATCCTCCACTTTCCGACCATCCCCATTCAGAATGCCATTCAGAATGCCATTCAGAATGCCATTCAGAATGCCATTCATATCCTATTATCTCCATATGATCTCCATATTTATGAATGTCCCAATATTAATTTCATATCCCATAAATATTTATTTCATGTATGTCTCAATATGTCCCATAGGTCTTTCGTTGAACCCCATGAATTATCCCATAAAAAAACAGGTTTTTCCACCCGAAGTCCATGGGATCCATGGGACATGGCAACCCCAACCCCAAACGATCTCTGCAGCAGAAGTCGCTTCAGCAAACACTTCCGCGCTTCGACCGGATCACCTTGGCAGGTCACTGCTATGTACAGTAAATACAAGTACTATTTTTAAAAACGCGCATATATATATAACATATATATATATAACATATATATATATAATAATATATATATATATTTAAATGCCAGTAGAGCCCAGACAAGCCGGGTGACGGAAGTTTCATAGGCGGGAAGCCTGACCACCTGGTTGTCACGGCCGTTCACTGCCTCAGCCCTTGAAGCTAAGTAAGCAAGTAAGTAAGCAAGTAAGTAAGTAAGTAAGGTAAGTAAGGTAAGTAAGGTAAGTAAGGTAAGTAGTAGGGTAAGTAAGTAAGGTGACTAAGCTAAGTAACTAAAGTCAAGTAAAGTAAAGAAAGAAAGTAAGTAAGAAAGTGAGTAAGTAAGAAAGAAAGAAATTGAAGTAAAGTAAAGTAAAATAAAGTAAGTAAAGTCAGTTTGTTAGTTTGTTAGTTAGTTAGTTAATTAGGTATTGAGTTTCTTGGTCAGTTTGTTTGGTAGGTAAGAAGTAAGTAAGCAAGCACGCAAGTAAAGCAAGTAAGCAAGTAAGCAAGTAAGCAAGTAAGCAGATTAGCAAGCAAGCAAGTAAGCAAGGTAGCAAGGTAAGTAAGTAAGTAAGTTAGTTAGGTAGGTAGGTAAGTAAGTAGGTAAGTAAGTAAGTAAGTAAGTACGTAAGTAAGTAAATAAGTAAGTAAGTAAATAACTAAGTAAGTAAGTAAGTAGGTAGGTAAGTAAGGAAGTAAGCAAGCAAGGTAAGTAAGGTAAGTAGGGTAAGAGGGTAAGTAGGGTAAGTAGGGTAAGTACGTAAGTTCGTACGTACGTAAGTACGTGAGTACGTAAGTAAGTAAGAAAGTAAGTAAGAAAGTAAGTAAGAAAGTAAGTAAGCAAGCAAGCAAGTAAGTAAAGTAAGTAAGCAAGGAAGGAAGTAAGTAAGTAACGGTAGGTAAGTAAGTACGTACGTACGTACGTAAGTAAGCAAGAAGATAAGGTAAGCTAAGGTAAGGTCAGGTAAGTAAGGTAAGTAAGGTAAGTGGGTTAGGTAAGGTAAGTGGGTTAAGTGAGTGAGTGAGTGAGTGAGTGAGTGAGTGAGTGAGTGAGTGTGTGAGTGTGTGAGTGTGTGAGTGTGTGAGTGTGTGAGTAAGTAAAAAAGAAAGAAAGAAAAGAAAAGTAAAGTAAAGTAAGTAAACTCAGTTAGTTTGCTAGCTAGTTAGTTTGTTTGTTAGTTTGCTAAAACTTCTAAACTTCCTTTGACAATCTAAATATGTATATATATGTATATATACAACCTAGCTATATCTAAGATGTATATACATTTATACAATCAACATTATACATACATTCATACATAACATAACATAACATAACATAACAGAACATAACATAACATAACATAACATATATATATATATGTGGTGGTTAATTTATATATATATACATAAAATCTGAATATACATATATACACATCAACATCTATACATATATAGTATATACAACTATATAGATATATACCATAGATAGCACCCAATGTGCATCGCCAAGGGACGCCAGTCCCCGGCGAGCTTGCCCACATTCGTGGCCCCCACGCGCGAGACCTCCCGGAAGGCGCACCGCACAGCGCCGCCGTAAGTGACCTGGGTCCCCTGGGTCCCCTGGGTCCGCCGCGCCGGGCGGAAAACCATGGGTTTTCTCATGGGAATGCACAACATGGTAGTTGAATGATGGGATAATGGGTTAATAACCAAAATTTTGTTTAATGGGATTTAATGGGATTAATGGGATTAACCATCAACTTAATGTTGAATGATGGGATAACAATGGGTTTGAAGAAAAATGGGATATAGCTGGTTTGAAGATGGGATTAATTTTGGGTTTATAATGATGGTTTCATGGGATCATAATGGCTTCATGATGGGATATAAAAAATTGGGTTTTTTTTGAAAAATGCTGGTTTTGGATCATTTGAAAATGGTGGTTTAACGTATCTTAATGGGATTTACTGGGAGTCAATGGGATATAGCAACCAATGGTTTTTAAAACCCTACCTGGGGGTGCAGTTGAGGTTACTTAACCTTAGAACCAGGGGATTACCCTCTGGTAAACATTAAAAAAAAAAAAACTATGGAAAACCACCATTTTTGATAGGTAAATCAACTATTTCTACGGCCATTTTCAAGTTCGCAACCTGTGAATGTTTACCAGAGGATAGTTTTAGTATGGTTACCAGTGAGGAAAACTATGATTGTTAAGGATGTTGCTAGTGTCTGAAAGTAGATTTTATGTGCCCAGTTATTTATTTCTTCTGTTTCTTTTTGGATATCTATGGGGTTCAATGAACTAGTTTATCAATTACCCTCTGGTTATCACTAACAGTTCGCCATGGAAAATCACCATTTTTAATAGGTAAACCATCTATTTCTATGGGCCATGTATACCATGGCTATGTTAAATAACCAGATGGTAAATTATATTACAGTTCTGATGCTGTCGAGCCCATGTATAAAATCCACGCTCAAATTGGAAACAATGAGATGGTGGATAATCTATCGATCGCTTGTGGATAATAGCATATTTGCATATTTGCATCTACAGTAGCATGTCCAAAAAGGTATTGCAAATGCGTTCAATCCCAAAAAAATGGGGGTTCGACCAACAACAAGGAGAAATTAACCAGACAAAATTGTAGGCGAATAATATCAATAATGTCGGATACAGCAGTTGGATACATCAGCACTTGGAACTGGGAATGTGGCTTCATCTAAAAAGCTCAGTAGACCAGTTGCAGCCTGGGGGCACCACTTACGATATAGGTTTTGTGCAAAAATGCGGATTCAACAATCAAAAAAAGGAAAAACAACAAAATGGGATACAGTATTCGCTTCAAAAGAAGAATAATATGGCGATGACGATGATGATGATGAGGATGACGACAAGACGTAAGATGAGAATAAGATGATCTCCAGATGTAAATCCAATTCATTGTAATGTCAACCCGAGATGCTTTGAAACCCCCAGTTTATCTTATTATTAGGTGTATATTAGGTGTATATCGCTTGTCAGCATTAAGGTACACCAAAAACAGGGGTCTGCCGCCTTTTGTGCCGGGTGAAGAATTGATCCTCGAAAATCCACAAGAAATCATAGCGGCATCGTGCGGTGAGCGCAACGTTCCCAATTCGCGGGACCTGCCGGTGTCACCACCTGCCTTGAAGGGATCAAGAGATGGTCCGTGCCCAAAGGCGCGGAGTACAGCGCAGATGCGCCCAAAGTTCAGGGGTGAATATCTCAGACAACCAACAGGAGCTAGAATCATCTACATTCCATGACTATAATATAGATAAATCACAAGAGAAACATGTCAGAAATAGATCTATAGATCCACCCCCTTCAGTTTAGCCCAGTGATCTTAACTAACTCTAAGCTCTCTAAGTTCCTGTTCTAAGCTCGTCGTTTTCACACGGAGTTGATGATGGTGGTAAAGGCACCACCCTTCAGGGAGGCACCACCCACCAGGAAGCCATCGATGTTGGGCTGCTTACCTCGGGCGGAAACTCTTCAACTGAACATCCCAGACTCCAACATCATAAATTCATCATGAAAAATATCATTTCAGAATGCTTCTAACGTTTTTGTTTTTCGGAAAAAAATGCCAAATCTCTGAAACTTAGAAGCTCTTTCTATATCTATATCTATATCTCTATCTCTATCTATCTATCTATCTATTTATCTATCTATCTATATCTATATATATATCACTTCAAAACGTCAATTCTCCAGCCGAAAATGGCTCGAAGTCGCCCAGCTCGGCGGCGTTCTTGTCGTTCACGGAGCCACCATACTGGATTCGCACCGAGTCACTCACCTCATGGCATGAAATTCCTCACCCGATCACTTGGTGAACTCGCTGAGGATTAAAAAAATGGTGGATACGTATATGTTTGTTATGCATATATATATATATATATTACTATGTATATATATATATATGCGTTATAAGATGTGGATACTATAATATACATATATATATATATATAGATACATTATATATATATATACATACATTCGATAGGATAGGATGGGTTATAAACCAACTGATAAACTGCGGTGGCCCTTCCTGCAAAGGCTCATTTTGAGAAACTGAAACCGTGAAATTGTTGCTCCCTGTGGCTGCGTTCACTTCCCAAAGCGCGGAACTTTGGACACCAAATCTTCTTGCGACTTCTTGCGATGTTTCGAGACCATGAAAACAAATAAAAGTAGAAAAAAAAACATATCAATGAACATAAGCCAGTTAAGTTAAAAAAAAAAACACTTTCCAATCTGTCCATTGAGTTTCCCTCAAGGTTCACCTGGCTTGAAAAACCCCTTGCAACGGCCTTCTCGGAGACATTCTCCTTGAGCCACTTGCGGATGTAGGCGTGCGTCTCCTCGGCCTCAATTTCTGGCGCTTCACCGCCAATGAAAAATTCATCGGATTGGTTCAAGGGAAAATCTACAGGAAACCCCTATATTTCATGGGGAAAGCCATGGTTTCCATTGATTTATGCCACAAAATTCGAAAAAACAACAAAAAGATATGAAACAAGACCCCCATTCTGTCAAAATGATGTGGAAATGTCATGAAATGTCCTAAACCATGGTTTCGTTGGGTGTTCAAAATGGGGATGGGATAATAACATATTATAACCAACTAAATCTAGGCTTATACCATCAGAATGACGGCAAAGTCTGGTATAGATGGCTTAGAAGTTCGATGATAAAGCCCGTTTGTTGAGTTACTTTCCAGTTTGCAAAGGGTTAAATATGGGGGTTTCCCAAATTGGGGTTACCCTAAAATGGATGGTTTATTTCTTGGAAAATCCTATTAAAATGGATGATGGAAAAGGGGTACCCCCATGACTTAGGAAACCTCCAAATGTTGATAGGTCAAAACCTATTTCTCCTTGTTACTCCCAACTGGGGGGATTAACATAACATCCATTAACATCCATTAACATGCATTAACATCCATTCACATCCATTAACATCCATTAACATCCATTAACATCCATTAACATCCACTAACATGCATTAACATCCATTAACATCCATTCACATCCATTAACATCCATTAACATCCATTAACATCCATTAACATCCATTAACATCCATTAACATCCATTAACATGCATTAACATCCATTAACATCCATTCACATCATCCATTAACATCCATCCATAACATCCATTAACATCCATTAACATCCATTAACATCCATTCCATTAACATCCATTACATCCATTAACATCCATTAACATCCATTAACATCCATTAACATCCATTAACATCCATTACATCCATTAACATCCTTCACATTCACATCCATTCACATCCATTAACATTAACATCATTACACCCATTCACATCCATTAACATCATTAACATCCATTAACATCCATTCCATTAACTCCATCCATCCATTAACATCCATTCACATCCATTCACATCCATTCACATCCATTCACATGCATTAAAACATCCATTAACATCCATTAACAATTATCCATTAACATCCATTAACATCCATTAACATCCATTCACATCCATTAACATCCATTAACATCCATTAACATCCATTAACATCCATTAACATCCATTCACATCCATTCACATCCATTAACATCCATTAACATCCATTAACATCCATTCACATCCATTAACATCCATTAACATCCATTAACATCCATTAACATCCATTAACATCCATTCACATCCATTCACATCCATTACATCCATTAACATCCATTAACATCCATTAACATCCATTAACATCCATTAACATCCATTAACATCCATTCACATCCATTAACATCCATTAACATCCATTAACATCCATTAACATCCATTAACATCCATTCACATCCATTAACATCCATTAACATCCATTCACATCCATTCACATTCACATCCATTAACATCCATTAACATCCATTAACATCCATTAACATCCATTAACATCCATTAACATCCATTAACATCCATTAACATCCATTCCATCATAACATCCATTAACATCCATTAACATCCATTAACATCCATTAACATCCATTCACATCCATTCACATCCATTAACATCCATTCACATCCATTAACATCCATTAACATCCATTAACATCCATTAACATCCATTAACATCCATTAACATCCATTCACATCCATTAACATCCATTAACATCCATTAACATCCATTAACATCCATTAACATCCATTCACATCCATTAACATCCATTCACATCCATTAACATGCATTAACATCCATTCACATCCATTCACATCCATTAACATCCATTCACATCCATTCACATCCATTAACATCCATTAACATCCATTAACATCCATTAACATCCATTAACATCCATTAACATCCATTAACATCCATTAACATCCATTAACATCCATTAACATCCATTAACATCCATTAACATCCATTAACATCCATTAACATCCATTAACATGCATTAACATCCATTCACATCCATTAACATCCATTAACATCCATTAACATCCATTAACATCCATTAACATCCATTCACATCCATTAACATCCATTCACATCCATTCACATCCATTCACATCCATTCACATCCATTCACATCCATTAACATCCATTCACATCCATTAACATCCATTAACATCCATTAACATCCATTAACATCCATTAACATCCATTAACATCCATCATCATTAACATCCATTCACATCCATTCACATCCATTCACATCCATTAACATCCATTAACATCCATTAACATCATTAACATCCATTAACATCCATTAACATCCATTAACATCCATTCACAGCATTAACATCCATTACACATCCATTAACATCCAATCCATAACATAACATGCATTAACCATTACCATTCACATCCATTAACATCCATTAACATCCTTTCACATCCATTCACATCCATTAACATCCATTAACATCCATTAACATCCATTAACATCCATTAACATGCATCATTAACATCATCATTAACATCCATTAACATCCATTAACATCCATTAACATCCATTAACATCCCATTCACATCCATTAACCATTCACATTAACATGCATTAACATCCATTAACATCCATTAACATCCATTAACATCCATTAACATGCATTAACATCCATTCACATCCATTAACATCCATTAACATCCATTAACATCCATTAACATCCATTAACATCATTAACATCCATTCACATCCATTAACATCCATTAACATCCATTAACATCCATTAACATGCATTAACATCCATTAACATCCATTAACATCCATTAACATCCATTAACATCCATTAACATCCATTAACATCATTAACATGCATTAACATCCATTCACATCCATTAACATCCATTAACATCCATTAACATCCATTAACATCCATTAACATCCATTAACATCCATTAACATCCATTAACATCCATTAACATCCATTAACATCCATCCATTCAACATCCATTAACATCCATTAACATCCATTAACATCCATTAACATCCATTAACATCCATTAACATGCATTAACATGCATTAACATCCATTCACATCCATTAACATCCATTAACATCCATTAACATCCATTAACATCCATTAACATCCATTCACATCCATTAACATGCATTAACATCCATTCACATCCATTAACATCCATTAACATCCATTAACATCCATTAACATGCATTAACATCCATTCACATCCATTAACATCCATTAACATCCATTAACATCCATTAACATCCATTAGCATGCATTAACATGCATTAACATCCATTCACATCCATTAACATCCATTAACATCCATTAACATCCATTAACATCCATTAACATCCATTCACATGCATTAACATCCATTCACATCCATTCACATCCATTCACATTCATTAACATCCATTAACATCCATTAACATCCATTAACATCCATTAACATCCATTCACATCCATTAACATCCATTCAAATCCATTAACATGCATTAACATCCATTCACATCCATTCACATCCATTAACATCCATTCACATCCATTCACATCCATTAACATCCATTAACATCCATTAACATGCATTAACATCCATTAACATCCATTCACATCCATTAGCATCCATTAACATGCATTAACATGCATTAACATCCATTCACATCCATTAACATCCATTAACATCCATTAACATCCATTAACATCCATTAACATCCATTCACATCCATTCACATCCATTAACGTCCATTCACATCCATTAACATGCATTAACATCCATTCACATCCATTAACATCCATTAACATCCATTAACATCCATTAACATCCATTAACATCCATTAACATCCATTAACATCCATTAACATCCATTAACATCCATTAACATCCATTAACATCCATTAACATCCATTCACATCCATTAACATCCATTCACATCCATTAACATCCATTCACATCCATTCACATCCATTAACATGCATTAACATGCATTAACATCCATTCACATCCATTAACATCCATTAACATCCATTAACATCCATTAACATCCATTAACATCCATTAACATCCATTAACATGCATTAAGCGGCTACCCGTTTGGGTCTCGTTTGGGCCGTTGACGTTACCCTTTCGGCCAACCCCAGCCGTGAAAGCGCCGCCTGCTCGGGGGTGGCCACCTTGCCGGTGCCGATGGCCCAGACGGGCTCATAGGCCAAGACCACCTTCTCCCAGTCCTCCTGAAACGGGGCTGAAACGGGGCCATGGAGGCCCTAAAACCATGGGAATTTCCATGGGTGAAAACCATGGGGATTTCAAACCCCCATGGCAAAGCATGGGGATTTCCATGTCCCACTTGGCATTCTTCGAAAAAAAAAAAAGGTCCCATGACTTCGGAAAGCTATGGATAAATAGATAGGTCACGTGGGTAAAACTGGCTGTCATATTTGCCATCCCCCAGTCATTACCATTTTTACAGCTGGTATGGTCACCATTCCCAGTCATGGCTGGTAAAAATGGCATTGTTTTACCCACTATTAACCACAACATTAACCACTAACATCTATTAAGCACCAATTAGAAACACCACTTTTTGAAGCCATCACTTTGTCTCCTCGGACAAGACATCGGCCAGTGGTTTCAACTGCTCATCCAGGACGTCGAAGGTCTTGCCACTCTGGCCGCGCAGCGGTGCCAGCGGTGCCAAATGGAAATTATGGGAAAATGTACAGGAAACCACCATACTTGGCACCATATTTAGTAACATCATATTTAAATACTGTACATTAACCGGAAACCACCATATTTAATGGGAAAAAAACCTGGTTTCCGGTGATGTTCCCAAGAAGACCGATCCAATGAGGGAAGGATTTTTCCTTGGATATGCCAAGGTGCTTGGCTGGGGATTTGATCTCTATTCAAAACTTCGCTGGAAAAAACGTTGAATGACCAAAAAAAGTGAAAATCGGTAAGAATGGAAAAATCACAACAGATTTCGAGCAACAGTTTTGGGTTAAACCTCAGGGGACTGACAGTCAGTTGGAGCCAAATGAGCCATGGCAGCCATGATTCATGATTCTCTGGTCGCTGCTGGCATCATTTACTGCAGCCGGGATGAATCCTCATCAGGATTCTCCCTGTGGCTCTGGATCTTGATCCACAGGCTGCCCTGGATTCTGCCGGATCTCAACTGCTTTTTGGCATCCTACCTTCATGCTAAGACCTGCAATCTTCGCAGGAAAGCACGGTTGAAGGATGCAACTGATGCAACAACTCACTTCAAAGAAAATCACCAAAGGTTGGGCTCAGCACATGTCCAAATGTTGGTTCAGAATACCCCACAACTATCCTGAAATCTCCAAAACGAAACACATATGGTATACATATGTATTTAAAATTATATAAATCGATAAATGAAATAAGATCAGATAAGATAAATACCGACAAGAGGTATATAGATCATCAAATACCAAAAATCTCCCGACTTTCGACCTCTCGAGCGTCCAACTTTTCGCCTTGGCTTCGAAACAAAAGCACATGCTGCGGGGAAAGGGTTCTAGGCGCCAACAGACCAATAAACTCAATATATCAATACATATATACACATAAATACATACATATATATACAGTAACCTTCAAAAAGATAGAAAGGTTACTTACTTTTTATCTTATCAATTGATTAGTTTCAACATTGTTGCTTAATCATGTTTTGACCTAATGGTGGGGTAGCCAATCATTTTTTATGGGGCCGAAAAGTCCTTGGAACCATTGATAGTTTTATGACCTAGAGACGCGAAAAAACGTTTTTTTTGGTTGGATTCCTGAAATGGTGGTACCACACCAAATCCAAAATCATGCCAAATGACACTGCATTTTCGGACCAAGAAACCAAGGGTTTTTGGGGTCCCCCTTCCAAGAAACCCTGATTAGGCAATCCTGGAGTTGCCACTTCCAACAGCTGACCCATGCTGACCCGTGCCGACTTTTTCGGCCTTCTACTACACCCCTGAAACTCTGCAAGGAACACCCAAGGAGTCTTTGATTTCCCCTGCTTTCACCCCCCCATCTTTGGCAAATTGCACCTTCGTCACCAGGCCAACCAATCTCTGCTACTTCGATCCACAACCCTCAAATCCAACCAATCCAACTGAAGCTTTTCTGGGCCAGATTCCCCCCCATTAGAATCATTAGAAAATGAACATCCTTCCTTCAAAACCTCGGGCCAAGGCTCCAATGCAGGTCAGGGTGCTCAACCCCTTGTCCACTGCAAATTTGGTCTTCTCGGCCACCTGACTTTTGTCACTGTCAGCTCCAGGGGATTCGGAAAACGAAGCCAAAAGAAATCACCAAAGGGAAGATCACATTTCAACATTTCATTGAGCTCTCGTCGCACTGGAAAATCCTGTGGTTTAACCTGGTTTTTCATCATCTGAAAAAATGGCTGTTTCATTAAAACCCATCAATGGATATAAATGGGGGTAATCCGTGTCATTCCAGGTGGATGTGGTCGGTCAGGACCAGGGCCCCGGAGGAACCAGGCAGTACTTTCGTGCATCAGTCCCTTTTTTGTCAGCAGTCAACCAGCACTTTGGTCGCCAAAGTCCAATCTAAGTCATTAAATGAGAAGAATATCTATATATATATATATTATCTACAATCTTACATATATATATATATATACATAGTATATATATAGTATATATATAGTATAGTGTATATATATAGTATATATATATGTACTATATATATACTATATTCATTAAACCATAATGGCTTTGTCTGACAGGCTACTGCCGAATCCCATGATTCCCTATGATTTTCCGAAAAAAAAAAATCTGACCCAAAGAGCCCATAAAGTCCCGTTCCCTGTTCCTGTTGGTAAGATCCACCAAATCCACATCCAACATCAACCATCCATCAATGTTCTTGGTTGATGTATGGTTGATGTATGGTTGATGGATGGTTGATGGATGGTTTTAGAATAAATCAACCATCCATCAACCATCCACTAAAAACAGATAGAAAAAAAATCCGAAAAAAAAAAAAGCCCCCTCGGCCGTCGCCCAGCCACGATCTGGCTGGTCTCGCCACAATTCTCGCGGCGCTCGCTGTGGCCAAGCACCACCCATTTGATTCCCATGTCGGCCAACATCTGCGCAGGGGTTTCACCTGACCGTGAAACACCTGGAAACCAAAGAGGGACATGGGATGGCTAAGAATAAAAATCGAAACCAAATATGGTGTTGTTTTTGTGTGGGATTAAGATGGAAGACATGGCTTGAAATTCAGATTCATTTATATATACTTATACATACGTACATACTTACATTACATTACATTACATTACATTGCATTGCATTGCATTGCAATACATTACATTACATTACATTACATCACATTACATTACATACATACATACATATGGCTTAAATCCTGTATCATCTCTCACAGGCAAGCTAACGTATTTGTTTCATGAAAGCCAAGGCATTATATAATAATCTACATTTCTTTTGAATTTTCCATATCTATCACTCAACTTATTGGAGGGTAAGTAGCTAACAAGAAGAGATAAAGTTAATTGCATCATTTGAAGTTTAAGTTCAAGGTTAATTCAGAGATGTTTTGATGTGGAGTGTGGAGGTATGAGTTCGAACTACCCAACTTTCAAGAGCTGGATATAGACGATGGATGGATGGATGGATGGATGGATGGATAGATAGATAGATAGATGGATGGATGGATGGATGGATAGATGGATAGATGGATAGATATATATATAATAGATAGATATAAATATAGAAAAATATGTATATATACATATATATATATACATAAATATATATATATACATATATATATATACATATATATATACATATATATATATATATGCTTTTGTAATCTTTTGTATAGGTAAACACAAACCATCTTGTAAGTGGGATGCGGCACTTCGCAAATGTACCGTATTTGAAGGTCCTAAATTCTTTGTTTTTGGAATACCACGGCAAGATGAGAGGATCATCCAGGTACCATCCACCGGTCCGTGGTCAAACTGCACGCTTGAAAACCTCATGTGAAAAATTAAGCCACATGAATTCTGAATATCAATGGATTGGTTTAAGGGAAAATTTTAACCGGAAAGCCCCATGATCTTCATGGGAAAATCATGCCGGTTAAGATTTTCCCTTAAACCAATCCATTGAGAATAGCTATTCCGCAAGAAAATAACGATGAAAACCTCATGTCAACTATCTTCAAAGGGGACCCAATTTGTAGAGCTACACCGCTACCACAGGAAGCCGGAGTTCAGTACCTTGGCCATTGAATCTGGAGGTTTCCCAAGTCATGGGGGTACCCCCCAAGCCCAAATCATCCATTTTAATACAGGATGGGGGCCCCTAGTTATAAGTTGATTTATAACCTATATATATATACATTTATAACTATCATAGACTATTGTTTTTATAGTTACAAACCAACTTAGCAAACTATGGGGCCCCATCCTGTAGGATTTTCCATGAAATAAACCATCCACCATCCAGCTACTGGGGTACCCCCATTGAAACATCCATATGGAGACCCACCTGTTCGACCACGACAGCGCGCCTGTCCACGCTCCTGGGTCCTTGTCCCACAAATTCTGTGCAGCCACGGCATAGTCCTTGCGCAAAGTGCCCTGCCCCTGCCACTTTCAACGGATTGGTTTTCTTGGGAAAATTTTAACCGGAAAGCCCCATGACACCATGATCTTCATGGGAAAATCGATGGTTTCCGGTTAAGATTTTCCCAAGAAAATCCATGGTTCATGGGATTGTCATGGACATCATTAAGACTGTGGATGATTGCGAAATGCACCACCAATTTTCCGGATGCTGAAAAAAAAATATCTTGGGCTTTTGGGGGATAAAGCAACCAACTTTTTTTGGTGATTCAGATTTCGCAACCATCCACAGTATGCCATCTTTGACATCCGACCATGAGGATCTCACCCTCAATGAGCCAATGGCTTTTTTTTGTGGCCGGTCAAAACCCATCTTAGCTTTTCTTGGAACTATTTCATTTATGGTCCGTAATTCTGGTCCATTGTAACAGCTCATATCTGACATAGCTGTTTCCGTAATCTGACATACAGTGGATGGTTGCGAAATCCGAATCACCAGTTGAAAACGGTGTTTTATCCATGTTTATCCCATGGGTCCCATGATTTATCGAATTTCAAGCATCCTTTTGGTGGTGATTTCTATGGATTTCGCAACCATCCACAGTAGCTATGGCATATTTCACCATATGTTTCATCGAAAAAAATGGGCCCAGCCTCGGAAAGGAATACGAAGGGGGGGGCGCAAACCACCTCCACGTCCTGAGACTGCGGACAGGATGGACGGCATTGGCAACAAAATATGGCCATCTGCAGATAATCCATGGAAAATGCATGGAAAATCCATGGAAAATGCATGGAAAATGCATGGAAAATGCATGGAAACATGATGAAGCCATCGATTTTTTTTTGGTAGCCTCTTTGTAGACAAACCTCCTGTTGAAACAACAACATTCGGAAAGCGTGTGACAAATTGGGGTTGCCACGTTGGGAAATCGATAGAACAAAACCTTCTGATATCTTCTGATAAACATTTGGAGAGAAATTGGGATGAAATGGGCACGTCCTGTATGGGTCTGGCTCAAAATTCTGTATCCCAACCTTTGCACGGAGGATTTGTTAAACATGACCGGCAAAATCATTTGTGGACCCAAAATAGTTTATGCATTTGTCAGCGAATCAAGGATGTCTGATCAATGCTGAAGTTGGCTTTGAATATTCCCAGCAAAAAATAGAAGAAACCCATTAAACCCATGGTTCTTCAACTGTGATACTTCAACCAAAAGATCCTATCATGACCAGTCATGCTGACCCAGTACACCCCCGCCATTCCGACCCGATGGTTCCTTGGAAGTCACCTCACCCTCGTTCAGCTCCTGCGAAGGTCCAATATGAGATCTAGCACTGAAAATGGGCTAAGTACCGTACGGATACCCTTTACAGTGGTTGTTTCATGTGTGTGTATATGCATACATATATTAAAAAAAAAACATATTCATTTAATTATTGTAAAAATAAAAATAAAAAAATAAAAAATAATAATAATAATAATTTGCTTATTATGTTTATTTCTATTATTAGTAATAACAATAATGAATAATTAATAATAATGAACAATACAGTAATAAAAATGATAATGGTGATGATAATGGTAATGATAATGATAATGATGATGATGATGATAATGATAAAAATAGCTGTTTTTATTATAATTACCAGGAGCTTCAAAGACCCAAAAAGTTGTAGGTCCAAAAAAACAGGTTTTTGTAAAGAATCCATATTTCGGTTTTTGTTGGATCTGCACAAATTCGTCCAAATCGGGTGGACCTATATCAAATTTCTCCTCGTTACATGATGTAGCAGTTTCATACTGACAACTTCTGAAATCTGTCAGCCAGAACATGCGATCGAAACCGAAGCAAGCGTTATCACACGATGCGCGTATTCTCCACCGGCTGCAGCTACCTCCTACGCCCTATGCTGCGAACTTTCCCTTCAGCGGGACTGGAGGTAGTCAGAAAGTCACTATGGATACGCATGGCATTTCAAAAGTCAGTTTCTCGGATATGAACCCAGTAAATTAACAATAGCTCCGAGAATCTGCGTTGTTTTCTCTTTGTCTGGATCGGGCAATTACCGGTTCGATCTTGCAAAACGACAAGCGGAGCCTTAAAACTTGACGTCGCGCCGTCAATTCCCAGAGGCAAAAAAAACATATTTTGAGTACGGGTTAGAATGGGTTAGTTGTGGGTTTGATACGGTTTAAATATGGGTTCCCAAAAACCGGGTTTTTTCTATTACAACAAAATATGGGTTTAGTACGGGATAAATATGGGTTTAGCACGGCTTAATACGGCCAAAATATGGGTTTTTGGATTTTTTTGGGTACGGACCCAAACAATGTCATCCGAAATGATTGAAAATTGAAAATTTCGATTGATTTTTTTATTATTTTGTTCATTTGTTCGATGTTTTTTTCGACTGTTTGTTGGACTTTGCCAATTCAGAATCATTGTTTTCCCAGTAAAAAGGGGTGGTTCTTTGGAAAAAATCATCCAGCGACTCCAGATTGACTGCGATCACACTTAATGTTGTCCGACATGTTCCAAGAGCATCGGTCCCTTTCTTGTGAGAACTGCCACCCAAACTGAGAGGGATAGATCCAAGGCTAGTATCAATAAAGGGTTTTGAATCGTCTAAGGGAACGAATCATGAGATGTCATGACACCAAGTGTGAGAAAAAGTAGGTTTTTTCCCTAGTAAAGGGAAAAAAAAATCTGAGAAAAACCTTGTTTTTTTGGTCATAACTGAAGAAAAAAAACGGGTTTTTGGAAAAAGCCCTACAAATTTGCGGTTCCTGATAGATTATATATAGCGGGGATGATAACCAGCCAGTGCATTCTTGGGCACTTCATTTTCAGACAAAACCACATGAGACCCCGGAGAAGCCCTGAATTTATCCCCAGCCATCTTGGATTCGACATGGGTCATCACTGGTGCGTCCCAGGTTCGTTCACCCAGAATTCAAGGACCACTATTGGTGGAACGGAACATGTGTAGCACCCCTAGTCTTGTTAGATAGGGAAACCTGGAAATTGTGGAGGGAACATGATACTTGCCATCCAGGAAATATGTGAAATACGTTTCTACCTTGTTGGGAACCCATATGTTGCTGAAAAAACTATGACTCTGCGGAACAGGGCCCCGAGTACGCTTCAATTCTTTGCCACAGATTTCGGCAGGTTTGGCCACAATCCGTTGATGGTGTTTAACCCATGTACAAACCATGACCCACCGTCACGGTCACGAGATCAGTCCTCCACTAGCTTCTTCACACTTTCAGGGCTGCCATTAGCCTTCCAGTTTCCACCTCCAGATGAAACCGGTGCCACATTGAAAAAAAGGATGTCCATCAAGTGGCGACGCTTACTGGTGTTACCTGGAAGGTTGATAAATCTTTTCAACTATTTTTGAACGATCTGTTTATGTATTATAATATATATATATTGACATGTGTCCAGAAAGAGATAGAAAAGTGGATGTTCTACTAGTTGAATCGTGACTTACTTTTCAGAACGAAAATTTGGAACCCAAAACTCTATCCACCATTTCCCACAATCTCAAAGCAATAGCATCCGGATGTCACCAAATGTTTTTTGTTGGAACGATAGTGTTCATCGAGGATCGTTCAAAATTAGTGCGGTAAACCTAAACGGTAAACCCGATAGGCTCTATCCAATTTCAAAAGTATTTCAACATTTTGAGACAGAACAAATAAAAAATAAGGAAAAACATGGAAAAACAAACTTATTTTTCGGTCTAGCGCAGGAATCATCATTTTCCAGAACCCCCGAAAAAAGAAAAAGAAACAAAAAAAAAACAGAAACATTCTTCAAAAAAACAAAAGACCTCCTTAAAAGTCTTGAAATCAATACAGTATTCACCATTGAAAAACCATTGAAAAACCATCGAAAAACCATTGAAAAACCGAAAAAAAAAAAAAAACGAAAAATAACCACCGAAAACTCTGTGCCAAGACACCCACGATGAACTTCCTCTCCGCCTCCATCGCCACACGACTGGAGCGTGCTCCACTACTGGAGCCAACGAAGGTATAGCGCAGGCCCAGGACACCCAGGGCCAAGAGGAGGAAGCCACTGCCTACATCGAAAAAAATCGAAAAAAAAAAAACGTGTTTTTTTCATGCTTTAATCATATGGTTAAATCTCCAAATATCGGATTTTGATTGATTTTGATGCTTTAATTATATGGTTGAATCTGCAAATTTCATGGCAGTTATCCCACAGATATATGTATGGCTTTTAAAAAAACAGCTACCGAGCCAGCTTGTAAAAGCATCGAACTAGCCATGGATGACAAACAGTTGGCAAACTGCAAGGCAAGCCGTCCGTGGCCCATATAGTTCGATGATTTACCTATGAAAATGGTGATATCATATGGATTCATATGGAATATATCATATTGATAGTTGATTAGTTATGGTGACATATATCATTTTTTGATTAGTTATCATATTGATTAGTTATCATATGATATGTCACCATCTGTAGTTCAATGATTTTCCTATTGATGGTGATATAGCTATGTCATACTGTTTAACTATCAGAGGGTAATATCCCCGTTTTTTGGAGGTCAATCCTACAATTTCTCGGCAAGCATGTCATTTCGACATGTGTTCAAACAAATGCTGGGGGTAAATGGTAGGCAGTAGGTAGCTTTAATCTGGAAATATTGAATATTTATAAACAATTCAACCAACCATTTCAAGCAGATATGTGCAATGGAATACACCTGCCGATCCTATGATGACATCAGCTGAGGCCGAAAAATCCATGGTTTTTTTCCAATCGTAGCTCGATGGGCCTGGCCGCCTGTTAAGGTACCAAAGATTCAAGTATTACCCACAGACGCCGTGTGTTGCCCAGACATTAACATTGAGAACATTGAGAATGTCGTGCTGTTGAATATATGATAGGATAGATTGCAGAAAAAACTGCGTATACGCAGTGTTTTCCAGTTTAGGATTCAAAGTTTTCAGAGCCTAGGTTTTAGAGTTTAGGGTTTTAGGGTTTGGGATTTTAGGGTTTGGGGTTTTAGGGTTGGTTTAGGGTTTTAGGGTTTAGGGCTCGTCGTCTGGGAAATCTCAAAACACTGGCCCTGCGCAGGCGTTTGAGCATGTTGAAGGATAATGTTTAAACATGTTTAAACGCCATTTGAACCTTCCGGGCAGGACACAGCGCCTGGCCGAAGTATTATCCTGTGGTAAACTAACATAACTATGTAAAATCACAATTTTTAATGGGAAAACTCACTATAAATGGCCATGTTCAATAGCTATGTTTGTTTACCAAAGGGTAAACTAACCATCCAAGTCTTTAACCAACCAAGTTGGCATTTGGGTGTGGTAAGTGAAAAAGGTGTTTTATACTGAATTGACGCAAATAATAGTCATGCAATTTTGATTTCGCCATGGTTCTATACACGAGGGTAATCTCAAGCCCATAAACCAGAGCTCATTCTACCATTTTTTCGGGCTCAAAACGCAAAAGAAACTTTGTTGGTGGGTTGCGAATACCATACTGATCACTATCTATCTATCTATCTATCCATCCATCCATCTATCCATCCATCCATCCATCCATCTATCTATCTATCTATATATATGGTGCAGCGTTGGCCAACCCCCCCCCCCCCCACCAATGGGTATGGGTGGACAGTATCTGTCCCCCCCCCCCTGTGTGTCTTCTGGTCCCCCCCCCCCTGTGGCCTGTGGTGGTGGTATGGTTCTTCTGGTCCCCCCCCCCTGTGGCCTGTGGTGGTGGGTATGGTTCTTCTGGTATGTATGTATGTTGTTGTTGTATGTTGTAATGTTGGTATGTTGGTATGTAATGGTATGTATGTATGTATGTATGTATGTATGTATGTATGTATGTATGTATGTATGTATGTATGTATGTATGTATGAATGTATGTAGTATGTATGTATGTATGTAATGTAATGTAAGGTAATGTATGTTGGTATGTATGTATGTATGTAAGTAGGTAGTAAGGTATATGCTTAGTGTAGTATGTAGGTATGTAGGTATGTAGGTAGTGATGTATGTGTGTAGTCTGTATCTATGTATGGATGTAAGGTAAGGTCCGGTAATGTAAGGTAAGGTGTAATGGTATGTATGTATGTATGTACGTAGGTATGTAGGTAGGTAGGTAGGTAGGTATGTAGGTATGTATGTATGTATATACACCACCACAGGGGCATCATACCCCCCCCCATCCCATGGGGGGGGGGTGGGAACACGGGACACGGGACCATATATATATATAGGTTGTTTACAAGACAAACGGGGTGAAATATGCTATATATATATATAGAAAAACCAGGCGCGAACGGCCGAAGAGTATTGGACTACATAAGGCTCCCCCCCGAAGTGACAGAATGCTTCAAAATATGCCTCAAAGAGTCTCTTAGGATATGTGTTGCTTTCATGTATCTTCGCCCGTGAAAAAAAATAAACATATCTTCCCACAATCAAATTTGGCTGACTGGAAAATCGCCCAATAATTTTCCCATATACATATACAATTATATAATCATATATATATGTGTGTATGGATGACCATTCATAGTGGATGTCCCATATTTTCCCTATGAAAAATCCATCAAAACCCCGATGATCACAGCATTTCGGGGATCTCCCGATCTCCCGAGCAGCCTGTGCGGCGGGTCATGGTGCCAATCGATCCGGTGCAAAACTAATGGGCCAAAATGCTGCGAGAACGTGCCACATCTGTGGCGCTTGAAGATGGGACACCGGCGACGAATCTGTGGGTTTTACGATTCTTAGTTTAAAATTCACCAACAAAAAAAATGTGTCAAAACTAAACACCACAAAAAATGAAGAGTTGAACATCATATATAATGGTTTTGCCTGGGAAAAAAGGATAACTCAAAATCCCGTAGTCATGGTCTATCCGAAAATAGCTCAGAATATCCATAACTTTAGGATATTGCATCATTTTCAGACACGGGGGAGTTTTGGCCTTTTAGGTACCCTCTGGTAAACTAACATAACTATAGAAAATCACCATTTTTAATGGATAAATCAACTATAAATGGCAATTTTCAATAGTTTTTTGTATGTTTACCAGGCCGGGTAGGCCCGGGTCATCCCAGATCGTTCCGATGTTCTGACGGGCCAAGGGGCTGCTATGATGATGGCCTCAGGTGACTCGGCTCTGGCAGAGAAGCTGTGCGGAACAAAGGGCGAGATGTAGTTGCCTCAGGCTACGATGTAGCGCCATGGTTAAACCCGAAAATCTTTAAAAGATGGATCCAAAACTGGCTCCCATATTATATATATATATACGATATATCTATGATATATGTTTAATATATTATACATAATATAATATAATATAATATAATATAACATAACATAACATAATATAATATAATATAATATATAATGTATATAATTCAATATATAATGTATATAATATAATATATAATATATGATATATAATATCAAAAAAAAATAATGTATATAACAAAATATATAATGTATATAAAATGATGTATAATATATGATATGATATATAATATATAATATATAATATCTAATATATAATATATAAAATATATATTATATATAATATATTATATTTAATGTATAATATAAAATATATAATTTATTATATATAATAATATACAATATATAATATATAATATACAATATAAAATTCCATTCCATCCATTCCATTCCATTCCGTTACATTACATTACATACATTACATACATTACATACATTACATACATTACATACATTACATACATTACATACATTACATACCATACACACATACATACCATACATACATACCATCCACACATACATACCATGCATACATACCATACATACATACCATACATACATACCATACATACCATACATACATACCATACATACATACATACATACATGCCATACATACATACCATACATACCATACATACCATACCATGCATACATACCAAAAATACATACCATACATACATATCATACATATCATACATACATACCATACCATACATAAATACCATACATACATAACATACATACATACCTGAACATAATATTACATACATACCATAACATACATACCATAACATAACATAACATTAAATTCCATAACTTTACATAACTTATTACATAACATAACATTACATTACATTGCATTACATTGCATTTTTACGTACATACATATATATATATAATTAAATACATATAGTATCATTCATTATAATACATTATACATACGTGGCTCAGCCCTGCAACCCCCCCTCCCCCCCCTTTATGGTCCTGTATGTACGCTGTCCGATATAGTTGACATTTTGCTAGCATATAAATGATCGATGCAGGGTCTACTTTACCCCCGCCCCCCCTGTGCGATGGGTGGGGGCTAGGTAGTGTGTCACTGGCACAACTAGTGTGTAAGGCAGTAAGTAGGTCGTATGTGGCCAGCATGTAAATGGTTGGGTCTACTTAACCCCCCCCCGCTGCGGGATGGGTGGGGTCTTATAGAGGTATCATGTAGATAGTGTATCGGTAGTACGTGGCAAGCACGTATGTATAGCACATTAGATCTTGATAGTAGCTAGTATATGCCTACTATAAAGATACTTTATGCAGTAATACGTTGTAAATAGATTGTATGGGCATATTATAGGCAGTAGTGAACACTGCAAGGAGGTATCCTGTTATGTAGTGCCTACGTGGCACGAGGCCAGCATTTAAGTATAGCATATGAGCATATGAGATCTTGACGGATGGTGGTAGATGGCTAGCCACCCCCGTGGGGGGGCTAAGGGGGATAGCATTGGGGGGGTTGCCGGACGCTGGGCGGGACCATATATATAATCATTTATTATGATACATTATACATTATACATTATACATTATACATTATACATTACATATATATATATAATTATATATATACATATATATATATATAAATGAAGCGCATTAAAAAATAATAATAATAAACATAAAATGAGAGTTTTTATATGATTAACCACAAATTTATTATATATATATATATGTGGTTTCTTTTGTCCCAACCGAGCGTCTGTCCCCGGTATTCATCTCCCGACGATGGACGTGTCCATGACCTCGGAAACGTAGAGTTTTTCACAGTTAAGCCCCGTTGTAACGTAACGTTCGTTATTTTAGCGTACCATAAACTATAGTGACATTGGAGTTATAAACCAACTTAGCTATCTGGGGGCCTCACATTGTACAAATATTTAGAAATACTAATACTAGATAATACTAGATAATACTGGATCTGAATGAGTTCCAATGAAGCTCAGGAATTGAAATCGAAACACAAAGTATAAGAGCAAAGTGCTCTTAGTGGTCGAAGGTCCCTCCGCTACTCGAACATGGCTGAAGAATTCACCATTCATCGATGATTTTCCCCCGATTTCCCAGCCAAATGGGCCAAATGCTCCGAGCTTCGATCGGTCCAGTAGAAATCCACGGGGCCAATAAACAGAGTCGTCTGCATCATCAAATGCCTCGGCTTGGCTTGGCGGCTTGGCTCCACAGCTCCACAAAAAGTCGATGTATGGACTGTACCATACACCATTTCTTGACACCATTTATCACCATTCATCACCAGCTACCTGATTCATCACCAGTTACAGGCCCAACTCATCTGCGGAAGATATTGCGTGGAGCTCGAAGGGCGATTTAACCGGTGTGTTGCCGCGCCTCAACAGTTGACCTACATGGTGTCTTTTAAGCTACCTTGGTCATGCATGATACCCTCCAGTAATCAAACCTGGCAATGGAAAATGACCCATTTAAAGGCGATTGCCCCTCTTAAACCTCAAAAACCCGGCGAAATTCCAAAGTTTTTCAGCCGGAAGAATTGGGGAGATGAATTTACCCACGATTTCATGAACGTCTCCAGTCTCCAGGGTACATTTGATGGGTAAACTCCAAGGGTGTATGTCAATTTGATGTGTAAAACCCCTAAGAAAACATTCCAACAGACTGATTCTCCCCTAGAAACCTTCCAGCCAGCTGGGCTCATTATTGGATTTACCTCGGATCACATCAGCCATAAACCCCCATCAAGGTGCCCATTATTCATCTGAATGTCTGGATCAAGAGGATCGCCACTGGTTACCTCGGGGGATCATCACAGTCGAAGCCACGGAAAAATCACAGCCACGGCAGCCACGGCAGCCAAGTGATGAAATGGTCGATTTTGGTGCCCATACAACCGACATCAAATCGGAGAGACAAAAACTGCGGTGGAAGGGTAGACACTGGAAAAAAAAAAACTTTTGACCACTGGAAAAATAAAATAAGGTTCACCCCTATTCTCCACACTGGGAACAAAAACTTAAAACATTGGAAAAAAAAACTTAAGAATCTGTACTTTGAACCTTTTTGCATCTGAAATCTCTTATTTGTACAATATTTGCAGGGGTTGGGCACTTAAACATGCGTTTTGGATGATATTTAAAGCGTTTTGGCCTTGAATCTTTGAGTTTTATTTGCAGTTGAAATCTCTTATTTGTACAATATTTGCAGGGTGTTGGAATTTAATTATGCAATTTGCATGGCATTTAAATCGTTTTGGCCTTGAAACCCTTGTTTGCACCGTGCTCGCAGCATCTTGGAGCCAGCATCTGTACTACACAGGGTATTATCTTCAGTATTTCGTAGTATTTGCAACATATTGTCTAGAGTTAGTTTTAGGATCTATTTCAGATTGGTTAGGGTGTATTTGGGGATTACTTCTGTTTGATTTTAGGTTTTCTGTACGGTTAATTTGGGCGTGTGCTTTTTAAATTGCTTTACGGTTTAGATTTGGTTGCTTTAGGTTTCCTTTAGGGTGTCTTTTAAGGTTTTCTTCGGCTTGTGCTATAGTGCTGATTTGGGGTTGGCTTGGTGTTTGTTTGGTGTCGATTTAAAGCTGTTGTAGTGTGAATTTAGTGCTGGTTTGGTGTTTTTTTCGGGTTGTTTTAGGATCTATTGAATGTTGGTTTGGACTTTGTTTAGATGCAGTTTTAAAGTCTACTTCGGTTTTTGTTGTGTAGTGCATGGGTTTGTTTAGTGTTGGTTTAAGGCTTCATTCTATGGCTTATTTGGGCTTTGCTGATGGTTTATTTGGATTACATTATTTAAGATTTATACAATGTGGGTATATTTATGGTTTTTTTGGTTCTTCTTTATGTTTACGGTTGCGTTATATTGTGCCGAATTATGGCTGGTTTGGTGCTTGTTTGATTGTGTTTTAAGGTTTATTTAGTTTTGGTTCAGGTTTTTAGGTGTCATTTTAGGACTTAGTTGGAGTTGGATGTTTATGTAGGACGGTTGATTTAGGTTTTATTGAGGGTTGGCAGAGGACCAAGGGACCAGGGGACCAGGGGACCAGAGGACCAGGCGACCAAAGGATCAGGGGAACCTTCAATGATTTTTCCAGAAAATTTATATGTTTGTTCCAGGGTCCTAGAGTTTTGTTCCAGGCAGATTCGGCAGATGTTTTCTCCAAAATCATCCCTTCGGCGATGCTCAAAAACTGCCGAGTCTGCCAGGTCAAAAAATGCCGAGGAACCACGCGCAAGACCTGCGTGTTGGGTGTAGGCAGGGTGTCTTGCCGAGCGGCCTATCACCTACCAACCTCCAAGATAAATCTAGAATATATAATTATAAACAATGATAATCATCATCATCATGATGATGATGATGATGACGATGACGATGAGGATGAGGATGAGGATGATGATGATGATTATTATTATTATTGACGACTGATGATAACAATAAGAATCATAGTAATTTAACACCAAAAAACTGGGTTGTCATCATACAACTTTTCGGAGTCCAGAGTCTAGCAACAGGCATCTTTCTCATAACAAACGTGGAACTGCACGGTAAATCATCTCCAAAACCTTCCAAGGTTTAAGGGTTAGCATAGCAAAACTCTTACCTCCAAAGCTCCAAACTCAGACTTTGTCTGAAAATATGTGTCTTTTAATAGTGGTTTAATGGGATTTATAGTGATTCAATGCGATATTAATGGGATATTCATGGGATTTTAAAGGTTCCATCTGCTGATTCCAACCCGATCAAGAATTCATTTTCCTCATGAAGTCATCTTCAATTCCCGGCAAACTCACCCCACCCCACCTTGATCCACTCGGGCCGGAACTGGCTGCATCGACTCATGGCCGAGTCGCGGTACTGGCAGTGAGAGGTTGAAGTTCTCCGGAGTTTCCGAGGAGTCTACTTACTGGTGCTAAACGCAGGGAATGAGGGAATGATCCACAATCACTAGTAATAATATGTAATAATCATCCCAGCAACCCCCAGCACCCCATCCATTCCATACGTAAAACGCACCAGTAAGTCTACTTATCCCTTGAAAAAAACTGATCCTTTCGTTCGATGAAAAGGAAATATCTCCAATTCGCTGGTCGTGATCATCGCATTGGATCACTGGATCCCAATTCTTCAGGGTCTGCCCCACAGCTGGTGTGCCTGGTTGCCAACAAAAACGTAACGACCTGGTGTTATTCTTCCATTCGGCTATCTCAAGTGGCTATCGGCACCATCGGCACCATGCGCGCCTCATAGTAGGGCGTCCGATGGCCCGACTTGTCCTACAGGATGGGGCCCCAATTTTGGATAGCGGGTGCCTCAAAAAAGTGGCTGAATTCGATGGTCTATGGCAGATATAACTCTAGTATTCATGGGGTTTATAAACCGACAAACATAACTGGGGGGGCACCATCCTGTATGCCGTCCATGGAAAAACTTTCCCCTGATGGAAGACCCTGACCCCCTGACCTGCGGCGAATTCGTAGAAACCCAGTGATGGTGAGACTCCAAGCTGTTTGGCAGCCTATTATCTGAACATCTTTGAGATTGAAGAGTCTGACATCTGAATCATCTGACACAAAAATTGTGTATATTATATATAATATATATATATATACATATACATGTATCTAATATATGTACTATCCATTTAGCCTATCCATTTAGCCACCACTGACCCGACACATCAACAAAAAAGGCCCGCAGTCCTGCCGGTCCAGCACACGGCTGGAAGATTCCGCGGCCTCCAAGGAGAAGCACCGGACGCCGCAGTTGGTGTCCTAGCGCCGCGCCGCGCCGCGCTACCGTTCGGAGGTTTCTTAAGGCCCATCTTGGAGCCCAATCTTCGAATCAGTTATATGTATGTGTGTATATATATATATACAAATATCATATGGGGGGATTACGCGAAATTCAAAACGAAACCATTTTGCATACTTTCCGCCTGGAGCCTTGCAGCACATCTTTCCTACCCAGGAGCCTTACAAACATGTGTTTTTTGGGGACTGGAATTCAAAGAACTTTCTTTTCTTGTGAAAAAGATGGACCAACAAATGTCAACTCTGGGAATTCACCGTGAAAAACAAGATTGTTTTCAACATTGCGAATGGGAAAAATCATTGAGAATGGAACTTAACCATCAATTCTAGGGGGTAATGATATGTTATTCAATTACATTGCTCAAATGTGGTGAGAAACATACCAAGGATATGTTATTTTTCATGGTTGATCTTGGATATCCCAAAAAAAAGGAAAAAACGTGTTTCGCTTACCCTCTGGTAATGACTAAGATAGCTATTGAAGCTATGGCCATTTATAGTTCATTTACCCATTTGAAACGGCAATTTTCCATAGTTTGTTGTTTACCAGAGGGTAGCTGTATGTTTACCAGAGGGTAGCTGGTAACAGAATGTGGTTGAAATTTCCTATGTGGTTATGAATGAAAATTAGAGAAGCGCCCCTCAGGTCACACCTAAATCTGGTGATGTGGATTTTCAAGTTGAAACCTAAATGACCAAATTATTATGGGTAAGGAACAACATACCACTTTTTACTGGACAACATCGATCCCTAAGACATACGTTTTCTTGTGGACGGAAACAATTAACTGTCAATACCTAGATAAAGAAGTGATCATCTTAAATGAATTGGGTGCCTCAAATTTGCGGTGAAAATGATGGTACCTGTCAGCCTGGCCTGTCTAAGGTACGGTGAAATGAGTTGGCTTGTTTTTTGGCAGCCTCCTACAGTCGGAAGACGTGTCAAAACATGGGATTGATGCAACCCCTAGTCATCCCTGTATCTCAGGACATTCATAGCTATTTAAGGTACAGAATTTCATCCCTGTGAAAACAGGCTGAGGCTGTTTTGTTTAATGAAAATGGATAACCATCCACCAATATGAGTGGATCCCAGCGACTCGGGATTTCCAGAACTGCATAAATAAGCTGGTCGTGGATCCCAGCGATTCAGGCAGGAACCTTTCGGGGGGCGACCTCGTGACCTGCTCTTCATCTCTAGACATGTAGACAAGATGTGTTTTCTGGAAAGTTGCAAAACCATTCCTGAAAATTTGCAACGGTTTTTTTCAAATTTGCTAAATCGAACAAATTGAGTTGTACAACTTGAGAACCTCCAGCCGGATGAGGAAAGCCTCCAACTTTGCCATATGTTTTCCTTGGAAAAAATTACATTGTTTTTTCCGTCGGAGCCAAGGTACGTCTGCATCCAACCAAAGATCATTCAAGGGCACGGCATAGACCTGCGTTGAAGTTGGATATGCTACTGATTTCTGAAACTTGGAGATGCAAATCTTTGTAGACAGAGATGAAAACAAACCAACTTTCTGGTTCTCACCGTATAGCTACATACTTCCTGGGCATATTATGTCTGCATGTATGCATCTACATAATGTATTGTATATGTATTATATTTGTAAATAAATATATATATATATATTTGTGCATACGTATATTTATGCATGTATTCATATGCATATGCATATACATATACATATACATATACATGTACATATACATGTGCATTCACATATATATATATATACATATATACATATATATTTACACATGCATGCATGCATGCATGCATGCATGCATGCATGCAAGCAAGCAAGCAAGCAAGCAAGCAAGCAAGCAAGCATGTATGTATGTATTAGTATGTATGTATGTATTAGTATGTATATGTATGTATTAGTATGTATTAGTTTGTATTAGTATGTATTAGTATGTATTAGTATGTATTAGTATGTATTAGTATGTATTAGATTGTATGTATTAGTATGTATTAGTATGTATTAGTATGTATTAGTATGTATTAGTATGTATTAGATTGTATTAGTATGTATTAGTATGTATTCGTATGTATTAGTATGTATTAGTATGTATTAGTATGTATTAGTATGTATTAGTATGTATTAGTATGTATTAGTATGTATTAGTATGTATTAGTATGTATTAGATTGTATTAGTTGTATCAGATTGTATTAGTATGTATTAGTATGTATTAGTATGTATTAGTTGTATTAGTATGTATTAGTATGTATTAGTATGTATTAGTATGTATTAGTATGTATTAGTATGTATTAGATTGTATTAGTATGTATTAGTATGTATTAGTATGTATTAGTATGTATTAGTATGTATTAGTATGTATTAGTATGTATTAGTATGTATTAGTATGTATTAGTATGTATTAGTATGTATTAGATTGTATTAGATTGTATTTGTATTAGTATGTATTAGTATGTATTAGTATGTATTAGTATTAGTATGTAGTATGTATTAGTATGTATTAGTATGTATTAGTATGTATTAGTATGTATTAGTATGTATTAGTATGTATTAGTATGTATTAGTATGTATTAGTATGTATTAGTATGTATTAGTATGTATTAGTATGTATTAGTATGTATTAGTATCTTGTTTTAATCCCATCACAAAAAAACACTGAAATGTCTCCGCCTCACTCATCTTGCGTATCACGTCGAAGGCATCACTGACTTCCAGGTTCCCTTGCAACAAGCCTCGCCAACGGCGGACTTGGAATATCCCACGTGATCTGTTGGTTACATAGGTAGATTAATAGATTAGATTAAACTAGATTAGATCAGATCAAATCAGATTAGATTGGAACATATGGATGCATCTATACATACACACACATATATATATATTATGCATATAAATCTATGGACCACGCACATGTAGTCAGTCACTGGGACGCACACTGGGACGAAGTAATGAACCCATTTCTATGGCTTGATGCTTGGAATCCCACCCATTGAGATGCTGTTTTATGGGATGGTGTCCTATTGTTTTACCAACATTACCCTCTGGTAGACATACAAAAAACTATTGAAGCCATGGCCCAGCTGAAATAGTGGAATTACCCAGCTATAAAATGCTAGATTTTCCCAGCTATAAAATGTTACGTCTCGGTCAAGTTTGGATCCCCTGATCCCCTCCGCTCAGCAACACTCCAAGAGCTCCAAGCTTACATTCAGCTCCTGGCGCGGCAGATTCCCATCGAAAATTGGATTGGTTTTCGGAAGGGAAAATTGGAACCGGAAACCATCGATTTTCCCATTTTCAGATCATGGGGCTTTCCGGTGAAGATTTTCCCAAGAAAACAAATCCATTGACCATCAGCGAAACAATTCCGACAAGTTTCCGAAAAGCACTTAAAATCAATAGAAAAGCCTCTGGTCAACATACAAGAAACTATGGAAAATCACTACAAAATTAGCTGGGTAAATCACTATTTCAATAATATACTGACTGGTTGGTGGTGCAATTTCACAATCTTGAAAAATATGAGTTCGTCAATGGGAAGGATGACAACCCATATATGAAATGGAAAATAAAAAATGTGTGAAACCACCAACCAGTATAAAAATCAACATCAACAGCTTTCATTTTCCACAATGTGTGGTCTATGGGACATTTGAATGGTTTGGAAAATACTCCAATCCCTTGATATTTTTTTCACACCCCAAGTCTATGGTCCCAAATATGCATCATCGTCCAACATCCATCACGGTTTTTTGGGGGTACCACTGCGAGGTTTCAGGCGGTGAGTTCGATGACTTGGTTTTCCATGTATATCTACATATACATATACCATATACCATATACCATATACCATATACCATATACCATACACAATATACAATATACAATATACAATATACAATATACAATATACAATATATATACAATATATATACAATATATATACAATATATACCCAATATATATCCAATATATATATATATACATATACATATACATATACATATACATATACATATACATATACATATACATATGATGTATTTATATATATATATATATATCCAATGTTTCGTTTGTCACGCCTTGGCCACAATGGGCAAGGGCCGTTTGAGGTCGTTCGCTTCGCTCAACAAACAAGAGCCCATGGCCTGGCGACGTGGGTCCCACCCTCAGATTAAAAAGATACCATTTCTCTTGGAAATTCGGAAAAAAATATGTATGATATGATGAAATTAACATTAACATTCAGAAATTTTATGTGTGATATTCAGAAATTATATGATTGGGTGGTATTTAACGTTCAGATTTTTTTGCGAAATTGTATGATATTTCAAAATTCAGATTCCAAATCCCTTCTAAAAGGTCTTCAGTCTTACCAAAGATATGTCAAATATTCCCAGTTGAGTAGTGTTTTTCACCCTCTGCCATTCCATGAACTACCCCTCTTGGTATTTCAACTGGATTCCCAATTTGTGTCCTATGACAATCCCCAATACTATCTTGAAGGGTCAAAAAATAATTCCAAACTAGCCATGAACCATGAGGGTTGTCGAATGTAGCCATTGCTCAATTCAGCCATGGAAAATACCGCTATCCCAATCTATCCCATCCCATTATTACTGCGTGCTTTGTAAATCTTCCTATTCTGCGTTGCAATAATACCCAAGAGTAAGACTTATGATACCAATCATGGCTAGGTAAGAATATAAAAATAGGGTTACTGGGATATTCATACGTATCATGATATCATGCGGATGACATATACCTAATATATAAGTAACTTGATGTTACAGGAACTATATTCAACCTACTTACTTGATATATATATATATAAATATATTTGGGGATTTCTTGAAGTGGGGGAACCCCGGTCACCATGGGTTTCAACATTAAGTCAGGGTCATCCATGACGACTGGATGATTCGGGGTACCCCCATGGCTGCAGAAACCTCCAATTGATACTATGCTGACTGGGATATTTAAAATCTATACTTACTATTCACCCAAAAAACGACTATTCTATTATAAAAATTTAACTATTAACATCCCATAATATGATAGTAGCCAATAGTAGCTAAGAAATAGTGCTACTGGAATATTGAAAATTCATAGTTACATCATGATCCATCATGATCCCAAAACATACTGTTAATAGGTACATGAAATTATTTTCTAACATTTTCATTTGTGAGAAAAATAACCATTTAATAGTTACATAATTCATCCCAAAAAAACTGGCGCAGGCGCCGAAAAACGGCACCTTGACCTGTTCACGGGTGTCTTCTGCGGAGAGGAAGAGGGCGGTGTCATTCCAAGCCCTGCAGAAAAGGCCGCCGTTGAGATGTTTTTCAGCGATTCGGCGATTCATCGCAAAGATGCAAATCACTCATATGGTGAAAAGAATATATGGTGAATGAGATGTGAAATGAATGGGTTAAAACTCAATAACTCCCGGCTTTATGGTGAATCAGATCTCTTCATACATGTTCACTGATAGAATACATAGAATACTGTAGATGTGGTTTTAAACTAACCTTGAATAAGATGTTAGGTATACGTCCTTTTTTGATCTTTTTTGTAGGTTGACAATTTTGTTGTGTCTGAAAATGAATTAAACCGGACAATCCCAAATAAATGAGGGTTTTAATTGGAAAATCAGCTATGGGTTATACATGGGAGATTTTTGCTTGCCATGTGTGATTACCGGGGGGTATATCTGCAGATTGATCATGGAAGTTGCTGGAAAGCCAGCGAAATTTGAGATGGTTCGCAGCGGGTAGGCTGATGAAATTGGGGTGTGGCAAGCTGCAAGTGACCCTGCAGAAGTGTGATTTTCATTGCGTGACCCACCCTGCCACATGAGTCAAACACTGATCTTTACCAAAAAAAATACGGGGGCACTCCCCACCCAACTAGCACCAACCATCAAAAAGTTTAATCCATCAAAAAACGGACGTTGTTATCATGTGTTGTTGTACGTTATTGCATGTCTCTTCTAAAATCAAAACATTTTGCAGGAATGGTTCTGGTGGAGCTGCATCAACAACAGCGTCCATGCAAAACACACGATGGCTACAGTGGTATCAAAAATTGATTTGTGGAAAAGAGTGCGATAAATTTGGTCAAAATGTGAGAGCACACCTGTGCGATAAAAGAAGGCTCACGTGGGCGTACAGGTTGCTGGAAGAAAGCTGAAAATTGAAATTGTTGTGAGATGAGATGGTATTGATCCCACGTCGGCAATAGAAACTTGGAGTTCGCTTGAGCTGTTATGTTTGGGGTGGTTGGGGCGAAAATTTGCGCACTTGAGTTTGATAAAAGCCATGTGGTCGGTACGATGATTTCACTGTCCGAAATCATGTCACAACACGTTGAATCAAGATCTGTATCTGCATCTCACATGTTCACATGAATATTATCGTGTATCCTCAGTAAATGCACAGAATGACAGCTGACATCTCAATTCAATTGATTTTGAGTATACAAGCCGGTAACAACAAGAACCTAGCTTGACCTGTTCGAAGACGTACAATATATTATACTCAGTTTCCTTTCTTCACAAATAAAACTGCATCAACGTTGTTGAGTTTCGTCTTATTTGCCTTTGAAAAGAAACTGCTTCGAACATGCAAGACGTGCACACATCACTACATGAGTTCACCCAACGCTCAGCTCTTGTTTTTCTCCCATGGGAAAAGTGCGGACTCACATGACGCCATTGCGCCATTCCGCCCATTGTAAGGTGGCGTCTCTTGTTTCCCTCAGACATTGGCGCCACATGGCAAGAGGGTCTACTGCCGAACAAAAAAGCCCCATGAACTTTTCCACCAACTCATGTGAGAGGGCGTCGGCAGGTTTTGATTGGCTGGGCACCCTCTCTATCCATGACACCAAGTTGAAGTTGAAGGACTCTTCACTGCTACACACATGTCTGTTTATGAGGTCCGTGTGCTCATTCCCAGACTTGCATTTGATCAGGCACGCTTGGACAGCTTGATTGTCAGTGAAAACGATTACCCTCTTTCCAGCGATACGTTCTTTGAAGAGAGAGACACCCAGAGCAAGTCCCTCAAGCTCAAAGATGATGGTCTCTTGATCAGATCGCTTGATGGCTGAAACCAATTCAGGAGGTGCAGCTTCGCCCTAGGCACTTGCCATCTTTGTCAGGCAGCAAACCTCCTATGCCGGAATGACCACCTGGTTCAAAAGCAGCGTCAACGTACAAGTCCGCCCAACCAAAGTGTCTTGCATCTACCAGTCGAAGCTCATTTGCATCCATCAGACTATTCAAGGTGCAAAAGGCCGCTTGAAGTTCAGGGAAGTCTTTTTTGAAGCCCCTGTTGATATGCACGTTGAGCTGCTCACAGGGGCAATTCCGAAACCGCCAGCCAAACAAGTGGTTCGAGGCAAACTGCACCCGACCCCTGGGCCTTTCTGCTTCCGACTTGCACAAGGACTGGGTGCCTGGAGGTGTGACTGCAAAGGCAAGCTGGGCCAGTGACTTCACCTTGCTGTTCATAGTCGAGTATACCAGTGAGGTGGCTTCTCTGGTGCCACGGCCATAAAAAGGACGCTGGTAAAAGAAAAGGCTGATGAACTATACATGTAAAAAATTCAATGCACGATCCTGGTAAAGGAAGGAAGTAGCGTCATGGTTGGCTTATGGGTTGGAAAGGCCTGTGCAAACATGCGCCTGACTCTTTTGATGCGTAGTCCAGGAGGTGGCTGCACAAATGAAATGGTTACATTGTATACCGGGTAAAACATGAAATGTGCAAGGCTGGCTGGTTCTCGGCGATACACCTGCAAGCATGGTCATGCATGTTTTCTGACCCTGCAGAATGGTGCAACTGTCAGGTGGAGCCTATTCATTCGATCTCTCCGATGGCGCGCTGGCAGCGCTTGCATTTCCGGGCATCTAAGAAGAGCATCTGCTGGACAATCTCATGCTCGTGGGTGGGATGCAGTGATGCCACAATGGAACTGTTTGGTCTTCACCTCCTTGGTCAGCTTGTGCTGATACATCGTTTTGTTTCCCCAAGCCTTCTCATATCTGCGGTCTGAAGAGACCTTCGACCAGTGACCTGCATTGGCTTCGTCATCGGGTCAGTCAAAATTATACTGAAATTGCACGGTCATTCAAACCCTGGGTTGTCTGGCCTGCGTAATGCTTCTTGGCTGGCGGTTCCAAACTTTCCAAAGTTGCTTCGGACACGTCTCTTCGATCATTGTCTGCAATGGCTAGGGTCACCAGTGGGATGGCAGGAGGGTTCCATATTGAAAGCCAATCTGATACTTGCGCACCGAGCATGCACTGGGAAACTAGATTGTCAAAGGCTGCCAAGTTTCTTGGAACTTCTGCAAGGGCGTTCTCACTGTGATACGCATCTGATCCACTGCCTTTGCTTTCGGCATCAAAGTCGGAAGGCATGACATCAGCATCTTTTGCCAATTCAATGCAAAGAGTGGCATCCAAAGGGTTTTCGGCTGTTTCGGCATGTTCGCCCTCAAGATCTTGGGTTTCCGACAGTGAGTTTCTGAAGCATCCCCATCGATGTCGACCGGCAGGGGAAGATCCGTTCCCCCTTCCGGGTCAATTTCAGGACCGTCGGTCATGCTTGGCTTGAGAGGGAAATCACTGTGCGGTCGACTGTCACTTACGACGAGGCCGTTTATTTTATCAGCGGTGTCATGCCGAGATGGAGGCAGGAGCACGCTTTCAATCACCTTCAATGACCCTCTCTAATGGGCTGAGAGCGATTTGGTCCAAAAATGCACCGTTAGCTGGCCCGCGTGCGTTGGAGAGGGTCAGCCAGGCACACTGCATAATGGTGCTCAAAGTGATCTGCATCTCCCACAAGTAGCTGAAAGTTGGGTCACTACTGGGTGCATCTATTGAAGCCATCATTTAGCGGGTGGATTTATTGAAGCCATCATTTCATCCCAAAAATCTGCGAAGGCGAAGACTCTACAAGTAGCCATGAAATGTTGACCTGCTGCTGAAGAATCACTGGATGCGCGCAATGCTCGGAAGCCATTTGGGGCCCCTCGAGGCCCTTCCAAAAATTTGTGCGAACCGGTTCGCTTGTCTGACAAGCACCAAGGTCTTGGCAGCTTCTATCCGTAAGATGAATTTTATCATGAGTCAACAATGAGGGTGTTCCCATGTGAAGAATCATCTCTTTGATACAACACTCCGACTTACTGACCTTGATGATGGTTTCCGTACTCTCAGGTTCAATCAACTTTGAGATCATGTCAGAAATGGTGGCGAACCCTTGCCCGGGCTTCGGAGGCCCATGTTCAGTAGTCGCAGAACGCAACCGATCAGCTGAGGACCTCCCTCGCTGTGTGGCCATCACTCACTCAGGCGTCCCTTTCCTACGGACGATCCACTCATGTCTTCATGAGGTGCTAATGAGAAAAAGGGCACGAGCAAAAGAGTGATTGGACATGACCACAAACCGCTATAAGGGCTCGGCTCCCAAAGATCTGCACCTCTGTCGGGAGTCCGAGGGCTACAAGTGTGTAAACATGTGGGCCACTTGGCATCTGACACTCACAGCTGTCACAAGGGCCACCTCCATGGCACACTTGCGCGCCGTCAGAACAGATCTCGTTGCCACCTGCTAAGGGGAGGTGATGAAAAGAGACCAGACAAAGGAAGTAATCATCTAAGGACTGTCCTAAGAACAAGTTATCGATTGAGATCTTAATTGGGCACTACAACAAAATGACAAACTCCTCTTTGCTGGAGTCCTGCGTCCCTCATTGTTCGAATCCAACCCACAACTGACAAATGCCAAGTCCAGGCAGAAGGAATGGGAAGACGGTCTGTAACCTTTATGGAAGGACAGAGGCTGGATAAAGTCTCTTCATGCGCTACTCGACACATGCCAGTTTCACTACAAATGAGAACCAAACAGTGTTGCCCAATCCAAGATGCCTGAACGGATGGAGAAAGTTTGGCTGGTCTGATTCAAAAAGCAAAAATCTGGCCCAATGGCAAAAGAGGGGCTCTAGATGCTCGAAACAAACGTGGAGAATGTGCACACTGTAAAACGATCCAAACGACATGCACTGAAAGGATTCTCACTTGAGATGCTGACCGGTCCTTCCCAGGAGCTATGCCCAAGAGTGGAAAGAGCTGGGGCGGAGGTTCGCCAGTGTTCCCCAGAGAGACAAAGGATGTTGTTGTTGACATCACAGCCAGCATGGGGTCATCCCAAGTCGGTCGATCATGACATTTACTTGAGCTTGATAAAAAAAAGCCACGTGGTCGATACGATGATTTCACTGTCCCAAATCATGTCAAAACATGTTGAATCAAGATCTGTATGTGCATCTCACATGCTCATATGAGTATAATGGTGTATCCTCAGAAAATGGACAGAGTGACAGCTGACATCTCAATTCAATTGATTCTGAGTATACAAAACCACAAGCACAAGAACCTACCTTGACCTGTTCGAAGACATAAAATATATTATACTCAGTTTCCTTTCGTCACAAAAAAGGGTACCAACGTTGTTGAGTTTCGTCATCGTATGTTACACCACCAACGATTTCCCTATTTCTCTCCAGTAATCCAACGTGGCAACTGAAAAAATAAGAAACACTCATCTAGTCATCTAGTTCGATGATTTTCCCAGCGAACTAAACCTCCATTTGGCTCGAGGATTTCCAGCCAGCCACGTTTGACGACACCGGAAGGTATCCCTAATTGTTGGTTATTGTTGGTTGTGTAGTGATATACCCCATTCTATTCCCACTATATGGCATTCAGAATAGATATATTATACATTTATTTATTTATGTATTTATTTATTTATTTTTAAATTTATATTTATATTTATATTTATTTATCTATATTTAAATTTAAATACCCCCAGGCATGGTGTGCTGCCCGAGGTTTTTCATGTGACCAACTCTTTAGGGTTATTTAGGGTTATTTAGGGTTTGTTTAGGTTTTGTTTGGGGCTTGCGTAAGGTTTATTTTGGGGTTCACCTAGGTTTTTCGAGGTTTTGACCACGGCTTTAATAAGACTTTACTTTCAAGGCGTACTTGGGGCTTCATGTCTGCTGGTGATGATGATGATGATGATGATGATGAGGGCCATGTTCGTCAGCCGTTGGGGTGGACGGCCGACATTAAAACACTAGCCCTGCGCAGTCGAAAAACTTCCCCGGGCAGCGCACCCGTCCTGGCCGTATAAATATATATATATACATAGATGTATATATATATATATTTACATAGATGTATATATATATATATGGATATTATCCAAGTAACATCCATTGACAATAGACATCTCATACAGATATAAAATCGTGTTCTTACATGTTGTTCTCAAAATTCCTTAAACTTCCTTAAAATTCCTGAAAAATCCTTAAAATTCCTTAAGTATCTTTGAAATTCCTTCAGGTTCCTTAAAATTTCCTTTAAAATTCCTTAAGGTTCCCGAAATGTTCCTTAAATTTCCTTCAAATTTCCTTATTCTTCGTAGGCCACTTGATATTCAAAGCGGCCATCTCGATCTCGCCTCTGAAGATCTTGTGGCGTGTTCACCTCGTGCCATCCACCGAAGCCCATTGCCACATGAATGGACACACCCTGCCGCGCGCGAACAGAAACGTTCACGTTTCTGTAACATGGGAACACGCTAACCTGATCGAGAAATGATGAGACATGTAAGGATGTAACTCACTAATCTAAAAAAAAGGATGGGCAATTTTGGGATAGCTACCTCTACTAACCATCGTCCCAGCACTGAGGTCTGTCGACGGATGTAACGAACGCCAGGACCATGGTGATGGTTTGTCACTTGAAATTGGCTTTGGTAATTGGGTCGACATGGTGAGTAGTTCCTGAAAGGTTTCATCCCGTTGATTCAAATGGCGTGAGTATCAAGGCGTCCGAAAAAAAAAAAAAAACAATTGGATCTGAATCATTGGTTTCTATTACTTCAGTTGTTCACCAACTTTCGGACTATGAACCAGGAAAAACCACGGTCATCAACGGTGGCTTGGAAAACTTTTACAGGGCGCCGACCTCATCCGCCATGTACTGTAAAAGGTCGCAAAGGCTAGCCCTGCGGTGGAACCGCCAAGGCTTTTTGTGAGTTCACTGGAAAAGTGCGCCGGCCAACGTTTAGATGTGGAAAAGCCATGGTTGAAATGATCTAGAAATGCTAAGTTGTCCACTTCTATAGTTTACTGGAAGGTAGTTTCATTGGTTTAATGAATCGTTTTTACGGGTAATCATCGAACTAAATGACTTAAATGACTAAATGCAGTTAGTAGAGGTCCAAAAAAAAAATCGCCAAAAAAACGCGGTTCCAACCCTCCATTTCCTCCATTTCCACCATTTCCACCTCTGCACGGGCTCCAACCACCAGGGCAAAGTAAAAGTGGTCGACTGACCCGTGCAGGATGTATCCTCCTGGAAGCGGCCCTGCCCCAAGAACGGGGCCCCCAAAACAATCCATGGGTCTAGTAAAATTGGTAACAGATTGAGGAAAACATCCCTTTGGACAAACCAAATCCAAAATTTAGAATCACCGCTTTTACATCTTCGAACTTGGTTTGGAAGATGGTTGCATTTCTTTTTTAAAATTGCAACGTTGAGGTCCTATATAGGTTTCGTACAGAATGTCACTCAAAGATATGCTCTGGGAATCAAACACGGCAATGAACCAAAAACATTTTTGATAAGAAGCAATTTTCCACAAGTGAATATTCAATGGTCTACCGGTTCAATTTTTGCCCAGTGCTAGCTCACATCGAGAAGTGTTGTCAATCGTGCAGTTAAACAGTTAAACCAACTTCAACTCCTGTATAAATCTTTGGAATTGCATGAGGTGGTGATTTTCCATCGAATTTTCGCCCAAACAGTCGGTGTCCGGCTTCGTTTTTTGGGATCCTCACCATCAATTCATTTTTGTGGGTTTCACCCAATGTCATAAGCTACAATGGGAAGTATATATTCACCGATGGTTTATGGTATTGGGTGAATTAACTGATCTGTTTGGGAACCCAAGATCTCAATTCTATACTTGGAATCCACATTTTTGGGCATCGAAATTTTCACTCGTCAAAATAGCCCCATTTCACGCGGTGAAAAAAATCAAATCTTCTGTTGTTCAAACAAAAAAAGAACGTGGTGCAATTTACCCTCCAGTGATCATAATCAAGCGTGGTCTGCTGAAAAATCCACCATTTAGTTGGATGATTTTCCCAGCTATAAACCTCCACATTAAGATATTTTTCAGCCAGCCACGTTTGATGGAGCGTACCCCCCCATGTCTTGGCCGTTCAACTCACCATTCTCCCAATTTCCTTCCCTAGCCGCTGGTCCTGAAAGAGTCGCTTCAACGTCTCGTCCAAAATCTGCCGCCCGGCGGCAGTGAACTTCATCAACCTTGGCTGCACGGCTGCGTGGCCGGACCACCATGGGGCCACAAGCCAAAGCTTGATGCTTCCGCAAACAGCGTGTCCACACCGCGCGATTCCTACGGTAGAAACTAAAAGGCCGGGGTTAGATCAGGGCACGCTCTGTGGTCCAAAAGTTTGTAATTATAAATGTTCGCATGAAAATTCCGTTGCGAGATGCCCATGTGCGTTTCGACTGCGCAGGCTCGCATGAAGAGTGGGCCCTGGCTTGCTCTCTTCCGAAGGTCTCGTTTTACTAGCGCGCCGTGCTGGTTTTTTGAGTTATGTCCATTCTGCGCTGCAAGCGTGGCATTTTCGCGACATTTTGAAGTCCAAGATGCCGTTTTGTTTGACAATTGCAGAACGTCGGACACTTTTTCATCCATGTGGCACACGCAGCACTTTCTGCACGCTGCTGAAATGTTAGCAGTCATGGGTGAAAATGAGAAGTGGGTTTGGACGTCATGTTTCGTGGCAAGCGCAGTACTTTGTAGACCTCAACAAAAACTGGCTGCGACCCAGGAAACATGTTGCATGATCTTGCGCAGGTCCTTTCCTTGCATGATCCTGTATAGGTCCTTAACAGAAGATCTTGTGGAGATCCTGGTAGAATCCTTGCTACGATCCTTGTATGAAAGCTCTTGTGGGAAGCTCTTGGGTGGTTCTTGCATCAAGATCTTGTAAGATCCTCTCCGGCAGCAGCCCGTCCTTTTATGACTATCTTGTGAGATTATCTTAGGGGTCCTGGCATGAAGATCTTGGTCAATGTCCTTTAAAAGTCCTTGCGAGAAGATCTTGGGGAGATCCTAGTGAAATGCTGTCAGAGGCTTTTGCATGATCTTATACAAGTCCTTGTGAAAAGCTCTTGAAGAGGTCCTGGTGTAGTCCCCTCGGTGTCCTTACATGATCTGGTACAGGTCCTTGTGAGAAGATCTTGTGGAGATCCTGTTGAAACCCTCCTCAAGACATCTTTGCATTAAGCTCTGCTTGTGTGAAAGTATTTCAGGGATGCTCATAGGAAGTTCTTGTATACAGATCTTGTGAGATCCTCTATACAAATTTATATAGAAGGTCCTTCTTTGACGATCTTTTGAAGTTCCCTTAGATGTCCTGGTATGAAGTTCTGGTATGAGGTCCTGATGAGTAGACATAGCGTTGCTTCTTGTGCCAAACGAATTCCGGCTGCTGCAGTTGCGATACTGTCTAACCTGGCCTGTTACTGTTCCATAGCTACTGCTGCTTGTATCTGGTACATTGACTTACTACCCCCGACACTGTTTGGGGGTCTCTTGCCGGTGTAATTTTCATTTGGAAGATCTAGAACAACCCGTTTTTGGGCGCTCAACGATTTAATTTAGCTGTGGTTCCGAGAGTTCAAAAATTCCGAAGTAGAAAATATGCACTTGTGGTAGGAATCATGCTGCTAGATTCAAAATTGAACTTGCAGCTTGCACCAGCATAGATAGACCCCGTGAAGCAAGAAGGTGTGGAGACTTGAGAGCCCCATGCTGGAGGACAAGTCGAAATACAAGCTGGAAAACAACAGCAGGCACATGCCACCAGAGGGATCGCGGCGTCTCAACAAAATTGGAAACCAGACAGCGCCCTGCCACATTGCCGGCCACACTGAGAGACAGATTCAGAGACCCAAGCTCGGGCCATCCTGATTCAGAGACAACATCTTCCAACCGGTTGATGTTTGAAACTCATAATCTGGAAAATGTTTGACCCCAATCCCCCCATTTGCGGGTCACAAAAATCTTCAACAAAAAACTTCGACAAATATCGCCAAGCAGCCCAGCAAACTCCCCAGCCATGTCTGCCTCATGCACGTGCCGGTTCTTGCCGATGCGCCGCACCAAACGAGCCTTGCCCACACCCGAAGTACTCACGACCTCAACCTGCGGCGCTGGATCATCTGCTCCCCGATCAAAGTGGTTTTTATATCATATATATATATATATATATATCACATATATCATAATATATCACATATATATATATATATCACATATTATCCCATTGAAGTAAATGGTCACTAACCCTACTTACTAACCGTACTAACCACTGACGAGAACCCTCGGATCCTCCAAGTTCCTGGGAAGATGTGTTTCCAGAAAACAAATTTGGGAATGAGGCCGTGGTGAGACATCCCGGAAGTGGAGAGGATGTTGGGAATGTCAATGGATTGTCAATAAGATCAAATAAGATCAACAAGCGATCTTATATTCAGTGGGTTCATCGATCAAGATCCAGGTAGAGGTGGAAAAAGGAAGCATGTTTGGCGAGAAAAGAACTAGAGTCTGTCATCTATTGTCCGGCTCCATACTAGTCTCTTATGCTCTTCGGTGGGGATATGACGTGACAAGACCAACACAGGACAAAACCAACGAGGCTCAAACACCACAACCATTCCATCATCAACCTGCCCGCCATGTTTGCTGCTTTGTAATCCCCAACAAGAACGAAACCAAACTTTCAAACAGCTGGTAAGCACTATGCCCCAAAAAACAACTGGAAATTGTCTTCAGAAGTCTTCCATTGTTCTCACCCCATTTACATCTCCACGTGTATGACAACAAAGCTACGGTTCATTGCTGTTTCTCCACTATTTTTCATGATTTCAATCCCCATGTTGCCTCATAAAATCGTGACTCTCAAATTGCTCTACTAGATTCTGATATCCCAAGCTAAATCCCATTCATGGAAATTCCATAAACTGGAAAAACTGCCTTCAGATTCCCCAGATGCAACTCGCCGACTCGCCGCGATTCGGCCTCCGCGAAGCCTTTGCTCTGCCTCCCAGGTGCAGCGGCATTCACCACCACCCGGATGTCTCCATGGGCCTCCAGCAGTTGTCGAGCCACCTCAGCATGAAAACATTGGGAACAGCATCAGCTTGCTGGATTTAAGCCGATATTTTTTTTTCACACTTGGGATGCCAAATGAGATGCTGACATGAAGAGTGCTGGCCAATGAATATCGGATTTGGGCTTCATGTTTCCAGAAATTCAATTATCAAAAACCAGACGGAAACTTGGTTTGCAAAATTGAAGCTTAACAAGAGATAACTCGAAAAAGTTGGTTAAAAAAACTACAGGTGGCCGTTAGTATCAGCGATTGATCCTACATATCATGTTACGTATCCTTTTCGGGCTTAGTGTGCTGCAAACGAAAAAACAAAACAAAAACGATATCTGTACTGAAGAAATTTGGTCATATGATGTCATATGGGTTTCTCCTATGGAGGATACCCAAAATTGACATCTTGAATCTGAATGATAAAATTGATGAGCAACCAGGAGATATGGAGGTCCTCTATTTTTTGACCAACGCCAATGAAGCATTTCTATCTTTCAAGCAAAAGCTATGAATTGCATCAATGGAAGCTCTTTTTAAAGTTGAGGCTCGAAGGAAACAACTTGGTGAGATGGGTTTGTCATGGTTTGTCTAGAATGAGGTGCTAAATCCACTGGTTCACCATCATTTTCCGTTCATTTTCAGCCCTCAAGGCGTTGAATCGGAGACGGGCTCCCACACACAAGGCCGGAAGATGATGTCACCATAGCCTCGCTAAGGAAACCGAAGTTACCAGGTCATACCTGGAGGATTATCCCAGGAATCGTAGCCGGTTCCAAAGTACTAAGCCTGGTTATTAAGTCACCAATTCCTAGTATCCTATTTCCAAGTGGGTTATGACCCCACTTACAAACCAGATATTAAGCCGGATGATCCTCCAAGTACCTGTTTACAATGGGAGGCAAGAATCAGGTCACCATTAGGTAGACCAAGTTGGTCACCAGTTCGCAGGCACATTTTATGCAATGGTTTCCTTCCATTTAACATGCTGACATGGACATCCCTTAGTCAACTCATCCATTTTTTGGGCCCCAAATTTCTCAGACCTTCCCCTCCAGAAAACCAACGTAAAAATCTTGAAAAGCCACAGTTTCAATCGGAAAGCGATCCGGAAACGAGGGTTTTCTACTAACAGCCACAGCTTTAACTATCACAAAAACGTATCTCATTCACTGGAACCTACAAGACCTCCCCAGCCATCAGCCATCCCCGTCAGGTGACACACATAGAGGGCTCGGCCTACCTCCACATGCCGCAAGGCTAAGCGGAGGCTTTCCAGCATACCGGTGCTGGCGAAGTCGAGGCAATCGATCCTGAACAGCTGGGAGCTATCTGGGTTCCCCAAAGGTAGGATGGAACCAAACGGTTTCAAATTCAAATTTGGAAAGTTTCTTTGGATTTTTTTCTTTCAGCTTGGGCTCCGCAAAACACACTTTTGGCCGGGTTGCGAACGTTTGTTTTGCTGTTCAGAAACAAATGTTTTGTTGGAAGATCCAGCAGAAACTTTGACGCCCGAAACCATTGGTTTAATTCACCAGAACACTGGGGTGAACCAAAAAACATTGGGAACAAAATGGGTTCCTCTCCAAAAAAATGTGCCAATTGACATAGGTCTGACATAGTTAACTCAGATCCTTACAGATTTCATTCAAAAATCTGTAGGCACCACGGCAGGAACGGGTTCCTGGCCCAACATCAATGCTCTAGTCATTGTCTTCCCGATTATCCATCAGCAAGTGGCAGTTGGACACCGGGGCCCAACTCATCCAGATGATCCTCAAAAACATCGCCTGCAGCAATGAAAGATATCTAGCAGCAACACATGTGCGGATGATGACCTATAGGAGATTTATTCATAGTGATCTCCAGCGAGATTTCATGAAAGGTTCGGTTTGCCACTACGATAGACTAGGAATTTACCAATTTCTATTTTTCTGGGAGTTGCTATGTTGCTAGATTTACTATCAAACAGTGTTTTTAATAACCGCCATCTTTGGGTTCTTTGGGAAAGTTGAGACCAATTTCAAAAACACCCAAAAACACGGGGAACGATGTTCTTCGCCGGTCTCCCCTTAGAACTAAGGTAAATTAACCAGTTGTCTACCATTTTTCTATGCCATGATCACCAAAAAAAACCGGAAAATCATGAACCCATCAACCCGACAGCTAAAGTCTCCAGCCTTTCCATCCACGGCAAATGTAAAAATCCTCCACCCCCAAGCGTCGCAGCGCCGCTACGCTGTGCGCCACCAGGGAGCGTCCACCCAGTGAAATGAGGGCCTTCATCAAAGGAAGTTGGGAAGCAATCTTCCGATTTACGGACAAATAGAATTGTGATACTTTAAAATCACACAACAGTACATGACGAAGGGTGGTGGAAGTGGTGCCTTAGGTAAGTGGTGACGAAGGGTAGTGGTGACGAAGGGAGTGTGGTGACCTAAGGAAATGGTGACGAAGGGAGTGGGAAGTGGTGACTTTGGGAAGTGGTGACCTAGGGAAGTGGTGACGAAGGGTCTGTGGTGACCTAACGAAGTGGTGACGAAGGGAGTGTGGGGTGACTTTAATTAGGAAGTGGTGACCTACAGGGAAGTGGTGACGAAGGCCTTTTTAAAATTCCTTTTCAAAAGTGCTTCAAAATCGTGTGTTTTTTTGCTTTGGCGCCGAGATCCGGTTTTCGAGCTGCAATTTCTGACGCTGTTGCGCGTGGTTCTATTGTATTTTGCAATTCAGTCTGTGCAGATCGCATTGTCATGGCTGCGTCAAGGTTGCTTGGCGCCACGGCTGCATGCGTAATACTGGTGTTTTTTGCAGCTGGACATTGCAAATCGTATTGGAGTGGCTGCATCAAGGCTGCGATAGTGATTTGTCAGCAGATTTTCTCAATTTTGGCGCTGGTGATTTTCCTTTTAAAAATTCCTCTTAAAAAGTGCTTCAAATCGTGTTTTTTGTGCTTTGGCGCCGAGATCCGGTTTTGGAGGTGCAATTTCTCACACCATTGCGCGTTGTTGAGATTTTGGTGCAATGCATGAGCGTTTGGCGTTAGTCACCTCAATACTGTAAAAATACGCGCAATCACCCCGATTCGCCCACACCCATTTCATGCTGCACGCTTGGGGATAACAAACGTTACACTTTATATTCAATTGGGAAGATCAACAAGGGTAGTTAGGGAATATGAATTTCAATTTCCCACCCCCGTCCAACTTTACATTCATTGAAGATCTTCAATAAGGGTTTAATTCTCCCACCCCCGTTGAACTTCTACATTCATTGAAGATCTTCAATATGGGTTTAATTCTCCCACCCCCGTTAAACTTCTACATTCAATGAAGATCTTCAATAAGGGTTTAATTCTCCCACCCCCATTAAACTTCTACATTCATTGAAGATTTCAATAAGGGTTTACTTCTCTCACCCCCGTTAAACTTAGCTTCGGTGAGATAAGAAAGGATGAGCTGTGCTCAGATAAAAGGAAAATAGTTAAGAAGAACTGAGCTGATATATTATGAGAAGACATGAAATGAGATGACAAGAGCTCAGATGAGATGAGATGAGATGAGATGAAGTGTGGAGTGTGAACTGCAAGTGTGGAGTGCGGGTTGTGAAGAGCGCAGTGCGAAGTGTGAAGAAAATGTTCAGTTGGGGTTGCATTGCACCGGGGCGCGCGCAGGTCATGTTCTCGGACAGCAGCGCAACAGTTTGGAAAAAAATTCGCACGCGCGGGCCTGGCTGGCGCACGGCGCATGCAAGTTCTATAGATGAAAAAGGTCTTATAGTATAACCATAAGGCAACTTCCACCCCGCCTCCTGCGGGTACTACTGGTAAGGGAACCCTCTCAATGGACAAGTTGGTCACGATGATGCTTATCCAATGGATTCATTCAATTCACCAGTGTTGAGTTAAAGTACCAATAGTTTCGATTTTCAGTGTCCAACCGGAATTTTCCCGTGTTCCGTGTTCAACCTCCAAAGCCCAGCCCGTTGCTGGAAAAGCTGGAAATGGCAAATGTTCAAGCTGGAAAACTATGCAACTTGAATTTCAATTCGCTCAAAATTTGCGATCTTTCACAAGACAGGGAGGTATCAAAACACCTTTGAAATGTGGAGTAGCTTGGAGAACATCCCAAGAAAGGCACAAGGCATCGAGTCCTCGACCCCTGATAATCTATAAATCGTCAATCATCTGTGTATACCATGAAATCAACATCCATAAACGTATACCGTTTAAAGGATCTACAAAGATGTATATAACATATATATATATAACAGGACAATCATCTTGGTATTAAAAGACAATACTGCAATAAAAAATGACGGTCTGCAAATGGTTCAATCATCACTAGTTCTGTCACACTTCCCAATCATCTATACATCGTCTACAAATAAAATACATAATATATATATATATGTTCTAGTAACAACATAGTGACAATCAAATAGATCAATCCTCATGAGATCATCGCCCCATTTCTCAATGCATCTATGCATCATCTATCAATTATCTACAAATAATCCACAAAATACTGTATATAGTGCAGATGTCTATAAATATCTTTGAATATCTATAAATATCTTTGAATGCATATATGCGGCCTGGACGGGGGTGCTGTCCGGGAAAGTGCGTTTTGACTGGCACTGCGCAAGGCCAATGTTTTATGTATTTTGAAAGCGCTGCTTACCATACACATGGGCGCTCGAGCCTTCTGGCTCGAGGCTAAGCCTCGAGGCCACCACGAACCGAAGGGCTACTACCTCCGACGTAAGTCGGTATATTCGGGCCGCGGGTCAAAGGGGGTCGCATGTTGGAAACCCAACACAAAGAAACCCCCAACCCACCTTGGCTCCCACATGCGGTCCAGCGTGGTGGGTTACACAACAGAAAAGACTCTTAAGTTGGGTGGTTGGGGTGGGTGAATTAGCAAAGCGAGCGCGGTTTGAGCAGGGGGCATGCCAGCAGAACCGACAGCCCCCCGCCCACCCGCGACCACTTCAGCACACCCTAAAGCCTAAATCCTAAACCTTAAAACTTAAATCTGACATGAACAGTAATCCTTGTGAAAGTAATCTCGTTAAATTTTTGCTCTCGATAGCTGCTCTTTGCAACCACTTCGCCCTGATCATCTCGTTGGACCCTCATTCCCATCCGTACCTTTCTCCAAGAGAGTATACCACCTGGGGGAGATACCAAGTTTGGAGAACTGCATCATTCAAGTCAGCAGCGCAGGAAAAGACAAGGCCAATTGAAGTATCTTAGCTTTCGTGCCACTGGCCATGCGACAGAAAAACACTGTTGCCGTGATTTCCTGAAGGTAAACCTCCATCGTTCGTTGAGCTAGCCACCTTCCTCGCCGTCGGATCAACTCTGCGTCTTCTGTGACTAAAAGCAGATGAGTAGTTCCTCCTAAGCTCCCCAAATCCAGACCTCGCTCCGCAGTGGCATGTTGCTGGAGCGCTTTTCTCAATGACTGTGGGGAAAAACACCAAAATCGTTTGTCGTCATGGAAATTCCCAACTGAATCGAAAAATCAATACTAAGTCAACTAAGTCTGCATACTCCATCTGAGACATCTGATGCCTCGCTGCTTTGTATCTGGTCTGTTGAAAAAATTGACAGGTGGGTAATTCCAACATCGCTTGGAATCACCATACCTACGCGAGTTGCAGACAGCACTGCACCTATCCTACAAACTACCTATAACTCCTGCAGTGATCGGCCATACCCACGAGACAGCCGCGCCCAAGTGCCAGCAAAATCTGGTATAGGACACGCTGAGCGGTGTTCCCCTGGCTCCTCTTTCAACTATGCACACGCAACGTCCGAAGCTCATCCACGACCTTTTCAGGCTCCGAATAATCCTGGGCTAGCAAAGCACTGAGTTCTACCCCTTTTGCAGGAAAGCCAATTGGAGGGTATTTTTTTGCTTTTTTGCTTTCTTTTGATCCAACGGAAAAATTGAAGAAAATCATGGACAAACCAATGAAAACGATGGAAGACTCGATAAAAACAATTGAAAAATGCTGAAACCAGTGGAAAATTGATGAACAGTGCGAATGAGAGATTTTAGCTACAAAATGCAGCAAATCAAAGATTTTAGCTGCAAAAACCAAGGAAGGGAGCCTGGACGACCCCAACAAGAAAATGCCAAAAAAGAATGCCAACTTAATTTCGCCCCCAAGCCAATTTCTGAACTGCCCCAAAAGTCGCTCTCTATTGGACCTTGTGAGAGGCTGAACAAGGCGTCCTAGAACAAATGGATAACTCTTCCTCCAGGCTGCTCGCGTCTCATCGTCTCTGTGCCAAGGACGCTTTCCATGGCTCTAAACGCTCGCGACCAAAAACAAAATCCATGCTACGGCCGAGGAATTGTTCTTGGTGTTCAAAGCTGTGGTGAAACGTGACATCTCACCGGAGCTAGCGCTCATCCACCTCCCGATACCCTTGCAACCTCCTCCTCCTCCTCAAATGATCCGCAGATTGAAAGATGTGAGAGCAAAGCAAGTGATGTGAAGCGCAGGACGAGGGAGCAGGAGCCAAAATCGTTAGGCCCTGCAAAAGAAAAATCCAAGAGTGAGACCAGATGCGGGAGCCCTGGCAGTGAAATGCACAAACCCAAAGTTGTTCAGGAGGGGAAGTAAGTTCATCTCGCTTGAGCCCCGAATAATCTATAAATGAACCATAAATGTCATCAGATCATCATCCCACTTCTCAAATCATTCATAAATCATCTATAAATCTTTGTATCATCATGTACAAAATCTATACGGGTTTGTCTGAAAATGGTGTGCCCTAAAATCCACCAATGGTTTATCATCATGTTCCCTATTGTAGAATACATCCATTCGGGAGTATACCCCGTTCATGACATGATTCATACCTGAATAACCAGAAATCCTCCATAAACATCTATCAGATCTATAAATCATCTATCAATCATCCACAAATATATCATACAGTACATACATATCTATTACCCTGCGGCAACAAAAAATGGCTTTCTGAAAAGAACCATATATATGGATGCTTTTCCCAGCTGTAGACCTCCATTTATAGGGGTTTCCCATGATAGCCCATTGCCACGTTTGACTACCAGAGTCTAGGAGGTATTAATCTTTAACCAACATGGTTGCTGGGGATATTTAGGGATTATCATAGATCCAGGATAGGGATATCTATTCTACATGTCTATAAACCATCTATAGATATATATCTATAAAATCCAGATTATCATCCACTAATCATCGATAAATACCATACAGTAATTAACATCTTCCATTTGACCCTCCAAATGCCTCCAACCAAATTGTAAAAAAATACTGAAAATCTGGTCAATGCGAATTTCAGGACCCTAAAATAGACGGTACATAACTAAGGCCATATTTTGTAGGGAAATTCGAATTTCAGCCCCCAAAAACATGGTGGCGAAAAAATATGCTAGATGCCTCTACTAAATCAGTCTCAATGGCCATTGATCTGGGGTAAAATGCCATTAGGATCACCATAAAATATATAAAATCCAATAAAAGTAGCGTAAAACCACCATTTTTTCAGGCGCCAAACCGGAGACCCACGGGGCCCACGGGGCCCACGGGCCGTCGGCAAGGCATCGGTGTAGGGCACCAGCCGCGAGCCACGGCCGGCCGCCAGGAGCACAGCGCAGGGGGACGCCTGAGACCGTGGCAACGGGGAAAGTTCAATGGATTGTTTTTTTGGGGAAAATCTTAACCGGAAACCATGGTTTTTACCATCAAATATAGGGTTTATCATTACTATAGTGTTTATAGATTATCTATAGATTAATATATATATATATATATGCTACCCCCCCCAGAACCTATGTTTCAGAAGCTGCGACCCTGCTTGAAGGCATACTGCCATGTTGCAACGATTTGAGCAAAGAAGACGGCAGGTGCTGTTGATGACACGGCCAAGATGATGAGTAGCAGTCCGAAGCAAAATGACATGTTGTTCTTTTGCAATGATCAGTATCCAAAAGTCAACTGACAAGGTGGTTTATGATAATTACCCCTTGCATCTTTTCTGAACACTATTCATGTGGTCAAAGGCAACAGTGACAAGGGGTTTCTGTGTGGACTTTGAGAAGTGAGCTAGCAGGTTGTTTTCCTGAAGACGTTGATGAATGACCAGTGTTCAAACATAGAATGAACTGGTGGCTTCTGGTGATTATCCCCTAACTTTTTTTGTTTGAACACTGCTCAGGTGAATGTGTAAGGCAGGCAGCAATGCTTTTGACACAGATGGCGATGCGATGACGTTTTCAGGGACGGAGCTGGAATTTGACCATTTCCCAGGAGCAGAGCACACCGGTTGCCAGCCAAAGGTCGTCGTTCTTGTGCCAGTACTCATACTGGGCGGACCTCAACTTGGCACGGAGAGCTGCAGAACCAACTTTGCAATTCTGGTTAAGAGGGAGGCGATCCTTCAAAAACTTCCAAGCTCGGTCAATGATCTGCGTACCGGCCTTGCACTTAATTGGCCTCTTCACACCTGGAACTTTGTGCGTGACGATGCAGACGTAGGAAGGGTTTTGCCACCGCCATTTCCCATTGATCTTCACCCTCTTCTTGGCGTGGATGACATTGTCATGGACGACGCCAGGGATGTGCATCTTGTAGGTCTTTGCAGCATCGGTGTGCAAGATGACCTGCTTGTCCTGAAGGTAAGTTTTTGCAAGAGGAGCCCACTCCACCTTGCGAATGGCACCTGGGCCAGGCGCGCGTTTTTTCGGACATCCTGGGCACCAGGCGCTTCAAGACCAAAGACTTGGGATCGCCCCTTTTGACAAGCCCACACCACTGTTCCCAAACAATGGGCAGGTTCTTGTCAGGAGCCAAGGCCTTCAGGTCTTTGCGATCAAAGGTAGTTTCATCGGCTTCGACATCACACCATTTCGGGCCACCACCAAAGTTGATGCCTTTTCCCTGGTGCTCGACCCAACGCTTTCGAAGGTCACAGAGCTTCTTCTCCATCAGCTCAATGGACTTGTGGTTGATACCGAGGAGGCGGTGGATCACCGGATGGGAGACCTTGTTCAACTTGAGGAGAAGAAGCGCAGCCTGAATCCGGAGAGATGTAGAACCAGAACCATTGCCGTCTGTGAAGAGCGGGTGGAGGTGGTGCGGATTGATGTAGACTTGGCAGCGGAACCTGTTGCAACGATGTTTGGGCACGCCGCCAACATCAATCTTGGCCTTGGACAAAGTGCCTTCTCCACACCGAGGGCATAGCTTACCTTCCCATGACGTCAGCAAGCCATCCTGTAGAAGCATATTGATGATCTCCTTGTCAGACGCCTTGAGCAAGTCCACCATGGACCTTTTCCAAACATGTCTGTCCATCCTGAGCCCTGTAGGATCTACCTCAGCAGGCTGTCTAGTGTAGGGGACATTCTCCCAAGCTTTTGTCTTCTTCACAGCAGGGCGCTTGAGTGCAGCACGGCCTTTTCCACGTTTGGGGGCTGGGAAAGGGTTGAACTTGCCAGCAGGCCGCTTCAAGATTTTGCGCACCCCTGCGCGCTTCTGAGAAGAAGTACGGCTCCCTTTTGCCACCATGATGTCAAGGCTGAGAAGACTAACAAGTCTTGGAATCGGAAATCAAAAATGGCTGCAGAATACATCATATGACAATGTGGTCGAATGCGCCAACATGTGTGACGAGCAAGGAATGTGATGGCTTTAGAATTGGAAAAGGCACTGCATATGCGCATGAAGCACAGACATGACAAGATGAAGATTCTGTATGCAAAGGCAATGGGCATGAACTGAAACTCACAAAAGGGATGAGGCACACCTTTTTTCCTTCATTGGTATAAATGGTGAGATACGCAGAAGGCATGAATGAACGCATCATATGCACAAACACAATGTCCAGTTGATAGCGTCAAGATGTGCAATGTGCGGGGCTCAAAACTGAACAGCTACACCTCCAGCTCACTCCATGGCGCCAAATTCGAAGACGTCAGGGCATTCTTCTTCCATGACCCCCTCCAGAGCCTGTTCCAAGGACTCTTTGTTTGGGGCAGCATCATCGTCAGGATCAAGGTCAATGACAGATTTGCTGGCTTTCAGCTCAATGCTCCAAGCTCTGGCAGCCTTCAAGGTCTTCCTTTCAACAGACTCCTCCCGCTCACGTTTGATGGCAACCCGCGGACCTTCCAAGGAAGTGACTCTTTCCAAGCAACTTGGCTCAGGACGACTGTTTTCAAGAAGACCACGCACCTTTTGACGATGAACCCAGTCAGGCTGCCGCTGCTCCTGAAGCTTCTTGAAGATGAGGGACAGCCACGCCTGTTCCTTTTGAACTTCTGTGTCGAAGCTGGGGGGGAGGTCCTTCACATTGTTCTTAAACTTGCCGTACCACTTCTTGCCTTCGTCCGTCAAGTAGTCCGCCCCAGGAATGCACTTGCGAGGGACTTGGTCATCATTCACACCATTCTTCCTGTAGTAGACGAACTGCTTGGTATTGACAAGAAAAGTGGCACGTTTCAAGATGGCATCCACATCAGCTTTGGTGGCTTCTTTGCAAAGGCAAGGACACACCATTTCCCAGAAGGTCTCGAACTTGAGCACAGGGATGAAAGACTCGCCTTCGTCGACACCGGCCTCATATGCATTGGCAGCCAAGGCACGAGGTTGGTTCTGAACCCATTTCACAGCGCCCCAGCGAGCCCATGACATACTTTCATAAAGGCCGACATCAAGCAAAGACTTCAAAGCTTTCAAGCCCAGGGTTTGGGTGCATGGATCATCTAGGAAGTCGCCCATGATAACAGTGCCTGCCTCACCCCTCAAAAAGTCAATCTCTGGACTGCACCTGGTGCAAGGCTCGCCATCCACCTGGTACTTCTTCTTGTTGAAGCGGCATTGGGCCATCAACACGCTCCGGCCAAGAGGACTTTTCCCACAAGCAGGCTCACCAAGCATCACCAAAGCAGAGAGGTCGAAGTTCCAGATGCCCTCCAAGATCTCCAGAAGCCAGGGCTGAAAGAACACAGGTGTCAATGGCAATGGCCATGCAAATTCTTTCCGGGCCAAAGCACCTTCAGAAGACAATTGTCGAAGAGCCTGCTGGACAAGGTTCTGCGGCCAGCCGAAGATGGGGGAGGTGGACTTGCGAAGCTCCTTTGTTTGCCAACGTAGCTGAGCAAGATCACAAGAGCTCCTGGGAGCATGTTTGGCGATGAAGTCGAAGCCTTGGTCTAAGCCCTCATCTTCCAGATCATCAAAGACTTTGCGGCTCTTTGCTGTAGGTGCATCGGCTGCAAGATCGAAGCATCGCAGGTGTGTGCCACCCATGTTCTGCAAGCAGTACTGCAAGATTTTGCGGCCCACGGTGGGTACGTGCATGAACAATGGTCTGTAGACAGTGCCATACACACGCTTTTTCACGACAGAGAGCTTGGACTTTTGAGGGAAGATAATGTGCTTGATGATGATGTAGGAGCCTTCAGCGAACTCGGACAAGACAATTTGGATCTTGCAATCGCTCTGGACCTTGCTACGAAGACCGAAAGGCGCAGGAAGGAGCTGCAAGTCTTTGTTGAGGATGGCGTCCTTGTACTTTCTCTCCAGCTCGATCTTCAATGGTGATGTCCAAATGGTAATTCTTCACCACATCCAAGTAGTGCACAGAAGGGTTGCAATCCACAGAGTCTGCTTCAGTCATGGGGAAGTTGAGGTGGTGAAAGATGCCTTGCGGCGCCTGACAGGTGAAGGGCGATGCCAAAGATCGACATGCCATACCATCGACGATCAGGTTGAAGTCGTCCAGGGTCATATCCTCAGGGGCCTTAAGCATGGCAACGACATGGCGCGAAGAACTTGGAGAGAACGAAGTTTGAGTTTGGCGTGCTGAAATGGCATTGAGAATTGCATATGGGAAGGCAAAGTGCTGGAACCAGATGGTATGAGAATGCTTCCTTATGCGTGGTTATCATTGTCAGACAAAAGCAGGTGTTACAGTATCTGTCAGTATCTGTGATGGTCATACGAGACTTGAAAACTGCACAACGCTCACACTGCAGTCTTTTTTCCGGCAGGCTTCAAACTCACCAGCTTCATTTCACGCACCTTCTGGCGTGCAAGGCGCGACTAGACCCACCAGAAGTTCTGGCGGCGTCATGGGTGCAAAGGTCCTCGGGGCGGTATAGGTGTAGGTGAAGGCGTGCCCGGAGGAGAAGCTGTGCAGAAGTGAGGGTGCGTGAGTGGAAGCTATGTATCCGTAAGGAAGCCAATGCAGACCAGAAGCTCCCAGAAATCATCTTCATACCTTGGTTGGGGCCAGTTCGGGCGTTGTGTGGCTACGTGTGCATGAACAAGCGCATTCTGACATGACGAACGTGGAGAGCCAAGGTGCTGCCACGATTCCTCTGCCAACCTGAGCCCGTAAGGAAAAGGCTGGAATGTTGGAACATTGCAAAGCAGAAATGCGCAGGTCCCATGCGCAACTCATGCTGCAAACAAGGGACGGCAAGGATTTGGGATCGAACCTCAGATACTTTAGCGGCGGCAGTGGCTTGAATGACGGTGGTTTGTATTCAAGTGCATTGTTGAGATGACAGATAGTTATAGCAAGAAACTTTGAAGACGGAGACATGGTCTTCTCGCCGGTTCCCTTCAGGAGGCCCGGCTTCTTCGTCACTTTGCCAAGAGAAGGTTTGCATTTGCGTGCACGCAATCCCATTGCAGAAGCACAGAGAAGTTTACTGAACTGCTGGATGGTAAATGGCTACAAGTTCAGGTGAAATATGGCATTCTGTAGCAGAATAATTATTGACACAGCTTGGGGTCAGTTGATTTTTTCAGTTTTTTCAGCTTTTCGGGTTTTCACCTTTCAGGAGAAGCCTAGAACTGAAAAACTGAAAAACTGAAAAACTGAATTCCACAAGAGAAGAATGGACCCCAGACTTCTCCTATGGAATTCAGTTTTTCAGTTTTTCAGTTTTTCTGTTTTCCCACTGTTCGTGCCTCAAATTTAATCGCAACAAAATCGGTGCCAAAATATATAAAATTCACTGTAAATACCAGTAAAATTAAAGTCTGCATAGGTTTTTTTTTGGGGCGGTACCATATATATATATATACATAATTATATAATACATCTATATTACCTGGAAAAGTCTGGAAAGTCTGAAAAGGATTGGAGAAAAGCATAAACGTTGATCTTGGGAAATAATTTTGGGACATGTTGAACAAAAACTTCGAAAAATGTCGGAACATGTCGGAACAAAGACGTGGGAGAAGTTGCAAGTGTAGTAACTATTGAAAAGGGGGTGGTAAAATTGACAGACATGTGGAACTTTGAACACAAACATGGATTTATTTATATAGAGTTGAACTTTAAAAAAGTTTCAAATTTGGTACTCCAACAAGGACATCTAAGTTGCAGGAAGTCTTCCCACCAAACACCGGAGAAGACCAGAGATTTCAAACGTCGTCCAAGGCTCCTTGTATCCCTCCATGCCAGGATCCACACAGCTGGTGCTTGGTGGAAGATGATGCCCCCTAAAGTAAGATTGGGGTTTGATCAGGTTGAATTAATGGGATATAATATGGGATATAGGAGTTACTGGGATTTTTTTGATGTTAGATGATAAACTTCTTCATCCAGAGTGATTTGGAAATGGGAATCGCCAGTTGCCATGTGATTTCTGGCCCTCCCAAAAATCAGGACTGGCCGAGTGGCCGAGTGCCAGTTTGCACATGTTGCATCCCTTAAGAATACATCCCATGAAAATCATCCCAATGCACATCTCATTCATCACCAATGGTTTTCTGAAAATCCCTGGGGCTTTCTGAGACAAGTCATGTGGGATCCATCCCCAGGTTGGGCTTCGACTACCCTCTGGTAATGACTAACAGTTTGCTATAGCTATTGAAAATGGCCATTGACATAGTGAGTTTTCCCATTAAAAACGCATGGTGATTTTCCATAGCTTTTTGTATGACCAGGCCGGGTAGTCATGGTCATCAGTGCCACATTGGACCAAAACATCAACGGCATCAACGGTCGCTGCTCAAAATCCCCTGATTTCGAAGCTCCGATCAAGCCACAAATTGGGCTATCTCCATCACCACAAAAAAATGGGAAGAAACTATGGGAAAATCTATATATCTATGGGAACAATCTATATATATATATATCTATAAATCTATATCCCATAGTATCTACATACCCTCTGGTAATGACTAACATAGCTATGGAAAATCACCATGCTATTAATGGGAAAACTCACTATGTCAATGGCCATTTTCAATAGCTATAGCAAACTGTTAGTCATTACCAGAGGGTATACCTATGTATCACCGTAAATCTATGGGAAAACTCCATCTGTACCACAAAAACAAAACGGAACTCGGGCAAGGCTTTGGTGCGAACATCAGCGATGTAACCAAACTGCCTAGTTTTGTACGCCGGGGACACTCCAACTCTGCCATGACATGGGGAAAATGCTCGCTTTGAAGCCATGGGATTTCATAGATTTGGGTCGCCGGGTCGCCGGTCCAGTTGTAAATCTTGGACTGTTGCACCAAAGTGTTCAAGAAACAACATTGATACATAATGAATCATAATGATACCCGAGGGGACCTTCAAACATGGTTCACTGAAAAATCTCCATTTTCAATAGAAATGTGAATGATATGAAATGGAAACTGAAATTGTTTTTTTTCATGTATGATGATCTTCCTATCGCAGATGATGCAGCCACCTTTGATTTCCAGCCCCAAGCAGTTGCCATCCTTGTCTGTTTGTAGGTAGCCTCCATAGGCTGGGTTCATCCTCAGTGCCACAGTGTACTGTGAAAACGGTGTTCACGTTTCATCTCCCATTTTCGATCCCGCAGTGCGGAAAAATTCTTCGGAACCTTGGTTTCGAAACAAAAAAACGTTGGGTACAATGAAGTGGTTCTTAAAGAATAACTCGGTGTTCCGAAATCAAATTTTGAAGATAATTTGAAGGCCAAAATCCTGCCCCAAAGCAAGATCTAAGATATCATAACATATCCATAGATATCTGCAATATCCCAGTTCGTTCGTTTCCATGGGAACCCCTGGTGTTACCTGGGAAACCCGAACTGAAGCACCTGCCTGAGAAATAGAGCTCCAGGGTCTGGGTCCTGGATAGTGCTTAAAATCTCCAAAAACGAGACCTACCGCATGCTATGTGATGCTTCATGTCCATCCACCACAAAAAAATGCAAGTTCTAGAAGAGTTTTCTGAAAATGAGGTTTACACCCTCCCTGTATGGAAATGTTTCATCCCGAAGATTGGCTGTTCAAACTCAAAAGAACCCAAAAAACACAACTCAAAATTCATGGAATTCATGGGGAGAACTCGAAAATCCCAAGGTTTTTCCCCTCATCTTCCATTCCTCAAGCGTTTCATCGGGCCGCCTTCACCGTATTCATCAGCCATCTCTCCAGTTCCGCCTTCTCAGGCCAGGACCTGGTTGATCATGTCACCATATGGTGATAGTTCATGGGATCTAAACATAGTTAGTCGGATATATAACGATATGTTAATATACATATAATTCAATATGTGGGATTTTTTTTAGTAATGGGATTTTTCATATATGGGATATAACAATTAATTCACCGTTAACCATTTTCAACCATAATATTATTAGTTGTAATTCACCATTAGTAACCATAATTAACCATTAACCACTCACCACCCCAAGGTTGGTCTCGAAATCCCTAGAGTTCACATAAAGAAAGTGAGTGAATCGGAGTTTCCCACCGTTGTTTCTCTTTTCATTGGTGGAAATCCGGTATCCGCAATGTTTGGGACAACCCCCTGGTATGTGATATCTGATATCTGATATGTGATATGTGACATGTGATATGCGATATCTCATGTATGTAGGTAGGTAGGTATGTATATATATATGTATATACATATATATACGTGTATGTGTATACATATATATATATATACATGTGATAGGTGATACGCGAATACGTGATATGTGATATATATAATATAGCATTATATGTGAGGGATGATATGCGAAACCTGATATGTAAGACACGTGATATGTGGTGTGTGGTTGTGATATGTGCTATGTGTTATGCGCTATATATGTTGTGTGTTATCTGATATGTGTTATGTGATACGTGATATGTGATCTGATATTCGATGATTCAGCAAAACAAATACAAATCCCATCAACCAATATTTCACCACCATTTTAAAAATTGATTAAAAAAACTAATTAGGATTTGGGCAACATATTTCAACGCGTGGAAGTCAAGGCATCATGGGAAAATTGCACATGTATATAGTGTATTCATATATATATATATAGACACACACGTACTTGTTTTGTTTTTTTGTGTCTTAAATGTTTTTTGAACACGAAAACCCAATCTGCAATGTTGGCCGTTTTGGAACCAAAAAAAACTAAAACAGATTGAACCAATCTATATTGATGTGTTTAACTGTTTAACTATTTAAAAAATAAAATAAAAATAAAAATTCCAGCAATAATCCAAGTTTTTTTGTAATATTCAATTTATGGAAGAAATGGCAACTGGACATGCGTTTTCCGCGATTTTCTTGGAACATCGTTTTTCATGCCATGACAACTCAATGGGTTGATGTTTTTCTGAGATCGCCAACTCAACATCAGCAGACATTCGAAGTGATGCAGAGGCAGTGAAACATTCGAAACTGTTGAGCCCGACATTGCAAGAACAAAAAACACATGTTGAGCCCGCATCCAACCGGCACTTCAAAATTCAAATGTCCTTAGCCGGAACTGTTCAGGGTTCGTTGGATTCCAAATTCAAATTACTCAAGGTCGAACAAACCACAAACATTAAGTGTTTGCGACTGTTTGCGAGACATTTTCCCGACAAACCATATGTTTGTAATTGTCCATTTTTCCACATGTTTGGTCAAACACGCAAATTCCATAATGCAACACACAACCCTTCTACATTCTACATGTTAGTTCAAAACAACGAACAATATGCAATTTCTGTTGGTTCGTTTCGATATGTAGACTGCAGTGGCAATGTTGAACGATGTTTTGTTCACAAATCGTACTAACAAACCCAGAAGACACGGGAATGGCCCCCGTGGAAAAATCCCCTCCGAACAACACTGTCTGGTCTCATGCGTTGGCCACATGAGTTGCAAGCAATTGCAAGAGCACTTTTTTGTCAAGTGGGACACGGCTGTCTGCACAGGCTGAGGGTTTGGCCTGTGAAAGTATCCTGTGAAAGTATCCAAAACGGGTGGTAGAGGGTGGGCGCTTTTGGATTAATTTCACGGCGCACCCACCGCTCCCTCCCTTGATTCAAATGTCTCGGAAGGACTTCCATGTGACCCGAAATTGAGATTTCTAAACACAATCGTCAAAACAACTTGAAGATTAGGATCTGCTACGTCGTCTGGTCTCATGCGTTGGCCACATGAGTTGCAAGCAATTGCAAGAGCACCTTTTTGTCAAGTGGGACACGGCTGTCTGCACTCCCCACTTCTTTCAGCCTGTCCCAGTTGCAAGGCCTTGAACAAGTTGTCAAACCAGATCACTGCAGCTGATTCGTCCAGTGAGGGATAGTCTGATATATTTGCTTCAGTTGGTACTCTTGCAAACCACGTAGGCAAATTTTGCTCAGCTTCACGCAGCAAGTGGTATTCCATTAACAGTGTAGCGGAACGACTGAGGCACGTTCCTCTGATCAGTGAAAACCGAGCTCCATCGTTGTCACCAAAACAAACTTGCAAGCCAGTGTTGATGGAGGATGCCCAAAAGTCAAGGGCTAGGACGCTTGCAAGAAGTTCAAGCTCATAAATGATGGTCTGTTTTTCCATTGCGCCAAAAATTGCACATTGTTCTGTAACCAGCGGTACGCCAAACCAACCTAAGCAAGCACCCTTGCAGTCAAAGAGTGCGGCACCCAACCCGCCAGGTTTTGTTTCGGGCTCGTAGGCCGCATCAGTGTAAATGAACCATTCGGCCAAAGGCTTCGCAGATACCACTCGGGGCTTTCCAGTGTCCAAGCGGTGCAGCATCATGTTCAAGGCAAGGGTCAACTCTCGCTGAAGCTTTGGCGAGCGACCATAAGCGTGCTCTGACAATTGTTTAAGAACCAGTGAACCCAAACGTCCTTGTGAAAAGGAATCTGCAAAGCCCAAACGCCCTCGTAGCATCAATGCTTCGTTCTTTCCAAGAGTGCCAGCTTGCAATGTAGAGACCACCAAGGCCTTCAGATCCTGTACGCGCTGCTCAGTGTTTTTGATAGCCAGATGCGTTCCCCCGAGCCGGGGAGGTCAAACTCCACTCCCAGCGCTTTGCAAACCTTGTCAAACATTGTGCTCTTTTTCTGCAAGCGGGAGCGGACTTTTCTTGAGCACCAAAAGCCTGACGATATGGTCATGCAATTCACATGCCACTGAGGTGAAAACTTGCTACACTTCTCATCATGATTTGTGCTGTGTCATCCATGAGTGCTGCCACAAATTGTACGCACTCCTCCTCAGCATCAGGACGTTTCAACTCCTGCTGCTGTCACTCATTTTCCTTTCAGCCAATCTCCAGCACTCATAGCTGAATCTTCACTTCCAGAAAAATTTTGCTTCAACGCTCACGGTTTCTGAGCTTTGCGTCAAACCTGCCATAGAGTAGGGGTGCCTGCAATCTGTTTGCCTTTGCATTTTCTGCCAGTCGTAGGAAAAGGTCTGCTGATCTTTCTTTGTACTCATTCACCAGACTTTCATCAATTCCACCACGCACTGCAGTAAGCATGGCCAGAATGAGAGATTGCATCTGCGCCGCATCTCTCCAATCTCCACGCTGAATTGCAAAGGCATGTTGCTCCTTCACATCCTCTATCAACTGCGTCATAGGTGGAGGTTGTTGCTCTCCACTTTCATCCATTTCATCGTCGTCTGAAGTCTCTGGTTCACCTTGTTCACCATCATTTTCCACATTGGAATCTGCACCATGAGAAATTGGCATGTCAGTTGTTTCTGCATGTTCAGCTCTGGCACGTTGCCTGACCAAACGTAGATATTGTTCTGATCCCATAGCTCCATGAGCTACCAAGTTTGCACGTTCATGCATGGCCAAACTTGTAAACTGGTCAGTTGTAAGGCCAAAGCCAAAACGCAAAAATCCACCGCTCTCAACCAAACCATAATGCAAACCACAAACATAGTCATGCAGCATTGAGTGTTCATTGTTCTGTTCCACCAAGCGTCCATCATGCATCACCAATCGATTGTGCAGCTCATTGATCCTTGTTTCCTGCTGGGCTATGTACCCATCTTCATCTGCCACTTGATTCCAGCAATGGAAGAGATCTTGTTGCATCTGTTTCACAACTGCCTCTTGCTCACTCAAACGCTTGTTGAATCTCTTCCAAAAAAAGTAAAATGCCACCGCAAGAATCACCACAAGAAAGCACAACAAGCAAATTGTAAGCCAAAGACCAGAACTGTTGTTGTCACGCTCAACCGCCTTGATGTCCTTTGGACACATGTTCACAACCTTTGCTTCCGCCGCCAAAGACTCAAGGCTTTGCACTCTAAGAATCAGACTGATCCTTTTGATGGCTTTGCCAAGTTTGCTCAAAGCCTTTCGATTTTCATCTCGTTCTGCAGCAGCATGATACTCCTCCTGGCCGATGGGTTCTGCTGTAACTGGATCAACTGCACCAATGCCGCAAAGGAGAGATTGAGCCTGGACTTGCTAAGATTCTTTGTTCCCACATCACTGAAATTCCAGAAAGTTGGAACCTGGGAAACTTGGATCTCACCCAAACGCACCAAATCCTGAAGCCACAACAGCTTTGCAGAGAGGTGGCGTATGCGGCCCACCCCCTGCTTGGAGATCAGTTGACGCGCTGCAGAGTTGTCTGTAAACTGATGGTGCTCGATTTGAACTTGTAGGAGAAATTCCAAACAGTTTTTCACAAATATTGCATCGCATGTCCCAGAAATCATACTGTGGAGTTCAGATTCTGCTGAGCTGAGTGAAATGACACGCTGGGACCTGCTGCTTGCAAAAACAAAGCACCCGTTGACAAACAACACTGAGCAACTTGTACTTCTTCGACTTGATTTGTTTCCACACCAATCTGCGTCTGTGAATCCTTCAAGCAACCAAAAAGCCTCGGTGCCTTTCTTCCACTTTCCTGCTCCATGCTCAGGCCAGTCAAGTTTGATCCCTATGTCTCATGAGCTTTTGAGGTATCCAATGAACTTGCGCAAACGCTGAACTGAACACAAAGTTGGAGCAGCCATGAAAGAGGACAATTCCTTGACGCTGTACATGATGTCTACCCTGTCACGTGACAAGTACAGAAGGAGACCAATGATGCGTCTGTAGTTCTTTGCATCCTTTGGACCCAACAACTGTGAACTGTCATTCTGTTGAACTGCTCCATCACATGGAATCTTTTGTAAACGCGCATGCCCAAAAAACTGTTCAA